GATTTGTATAAAATTTGGTACTAATGCTTTTCTATCAATGGATTCCTTTTCAAGCATTTTACATACAGAATTGACTTGAAATGGATATAGTTGAGAAAGAACACCATTTATTGAATGTGTACCATTCTTTGATTTACATAGCAATTCGATAATAACGTCCTCCGGGTTTGGTATCAAATTGGATTCCTTGAAATTGCTTTCTTTATTTTCGTATTCAGTTAAGTCTGGCGACACAATATTATTATAAATCTGCAGAACTTTGGTACCAAATGACTCTTCAGTAGCCTTCGAATTGCGTTTAGAATAGTCCACAAATTGTCTGTTCAGTGTCCATCGATCAACATGGAAATTAGTTTCTAATTTGTTCCGTATTTCGTACGCTGTATCATGACTTGCAGACATAGTAGGTATTAACAATACGCCATCACTGATATACTGAATTAATGTATAGTTAGAAAGGATACAGTTCCAACCCTTATTAGAATAATCCAACACTTCAAGAAGTTTAAACCATATATCGCTGAATTTCCTTTCTAAATTTAAATTCTTTGGCTTCAGCAATCTCCATTCGGTTAGGAACCGAGCTCCAGGGATATCAGCTGGAATACAATATATCCGGACCTTACATATTGTTGTATTTGAAGATGAATTTGGATATATTTGCAATTTAATAAATTTAAATGTAGCCATAACATATCTAAAATCGATAAGAAACTGGATATACTTGACTAGGGGATGCACATTTTCTTTGCATATATAAACAAAAAAGTCAATATCCAACCAATTCCAACCATAATTTTGCTCTTGACCTATCTTCCCAGGTTGATTTCCATTATCAATTACCTTGATGCCGCCCAAATCTGAATGACTGAATGGCAAGTCAATGAAGTTTAAAGTGCCAACTGGAATTAGATTTTTCAAATCATTCGAAAGTTCTATAACTTTTTGATACAAAAACCGCTGTCTATTCCTATATCCATTCATATATTGTACAATTAATTGACATACCCCATAGATATATCTCTATTCATCTCTCCATCGTGATCGCTGATATGAATACTGTATATAAGAAGACTAGTAGACTTAGTATACGATAACACTTTAAACGATATTAAATCTTTTTTTTTAACATATATAGGGTATTGATTAGTACCTATGAAAGAAAAAGAGAGAGAGAGCTTTCAACCATTACGAAATACCGTGATATTTGTCCATAGACCATATGATATTTGGCAGATTAAAAGTAAAAGGTGTAGCACTGTGATTACAAGCATACGCTATCAATTGGGTCATAATCCACTTTTCTGTCTCCTGTTTAGTATTCAATAATAATATGGAAAATGATAAGAAAACGGCGTACACCTTCAGTAAAAATATTAGCTGAAGAATCAATTTGAAAGGTAGATTTTGCAGCTATATAGAGATGTCGCAATAAATGTCTCTCACCGAGCAAACCCCTTTACGGAATTAGTATCAGAAGGCTAAACTGTCAGTTAATGTTACTTATTGAAAGTATTGAACCATTAAGAAGCAAAGAGATATATAGAGATTGAGATGAAGACATATCTTTTTTCGATACCAACCAAAAAGACGGATGAAACCAGTTGGGTTAAGCCGTTAAACAATTACTTATTATCCATTTATGGAAATACTACCGAATATCAACAGGATTTGGAGAAGTTTGATAAATTAAGACAAGATATCAGGGGGGTTAACGCAGACAACACAGGTATAAAGTTATATTACAACTACTATAGTCAATTAGAATTATTGGACTTGAGGTTCCCATTTTCTACGGTAAATAGACATAAGAAACTCAACTTTTCGTGGTACGATGCATTTCAGCCATCTGCTGTACATAAGCAGACAGCATTGGCGTTTGAAAAAGCTTGCGTTTTGTTCAATTTAGGGGCTTTATTATCCATGTATGCTGGCGCAAAATATGAAGAGGCACAACGCAATAGTTCTACTGCAGCAGCAGATGAGACTATCAAAGAGTCATTGCAGATTTTCCAGCAGACAGCTGGGATATATCAATTCTTGAACGAGAACTTTTTGCATGCTCCATCTAACGACTTACACCAGGCCAGTGTTAAGTTCCTTGTCAAGTTAATGTTGGCCCAGGCGCAAGAGGTATTTGTGTTAAAGGTTGTAAGTGGCGATTTAGAGCAAAACAAAAATTCTCTAATAGCAAAGTTATGTCAAGGTACTACCAATTATTATATGGAGTGCTTCAATATGGTGAGCAATATAAATAAGTCTGGTGTTGGGAGTACTCACGATGACTTTGCAGTTACTGATACGAACGAAAGTGTAGATGACATACTTGGAGACGATGACGATGATGATGATTTAGGTGACTATAATCCTGAAAAAAATGGTGTACCACAAGTTACAGCAAACATTGATGCAGCCTGGGTTGCAACTATTCACTTCAAAGTTCAGTTCTACGAGTCGTTGGCATATTACTTTCATGGGTTGCAGTTAGAGAAAAATAACAAATACGGCGATTCAATTGCTTATTTGACAAAGTCACAAAATATTTTGAACGAAATATCAAGTGCCACCTTGAAAGCAATTTCGAAATCCGGCTCGAACGATTCCTATGAACTTTTAGATAACTATAAGTATCAAAAAGATGCAGTTGGAATCAAATTGACAGACATGAATAAAGATAATGATTTTATCTATCATGACATGATCCCTTCACTAATCACATTACCCGAAATAAAGCCAATGGATGGAGTCAAAACTATTCCTATCAATAATAGCAAGCTTTTCAACGACTTAAACGAATATAACTATAGCAACTTCTTTAATAATGTTGTTCCAATCAATATTCACGAGCTATTGAGTTTCTATTCAGAAGAAAAATCCCAATTCTTGAGAAATGAACTTGATTTAGTTGACGTTTCAAATGAAGAACTGGCGTCCATATTGGAATATTTGAAAATGCCAAAGTCATTAGTTAACCTAAAGGAAATTATGAACAGCAGCAAACAAGTTGATACCATGTCAACATCGCTGGAAACTAACATAGACCCAGAAGTTAGAAGTATTGTTAATGAAGTATCTTCCAAATATCAGACAGATATGTCCAACAAAGATCATATTTCTTATATTCGGAAAGAAATATATAATACGATTACTGAAAGTGAAGCTAACTTGTCAGGTAAATTTGCAGAATCATTAATCAAGTATAAAGACGATTTAGTGAGGTTAAAAAAGTCGTTGATTGATGCTAGCAACTCTGATAACAAATTATTTGGACTTATCAATAACGATAATTCCCATTTATACGGTATTTTAGGCAAAGGAGCTGATTCTCCGGAGTTCAAAATGCTTTTTACCGTTGATTCGCAGAATTCCAAGAAGCAATCAAATAATGTGGAGAATGAAATCAGCTTATTAGATATCGATGATTCACAGTTATCTAGTTCAGTGAATGCTTCTGACTCAATTGACAGCAAAATCAAATCCATAGAAGACATTTTGCATGACTTAAATTCGATCAAAAGTAATAAAGCAAAATTAGTCGACACGTTAAAGAAGGAAATACATAATGACGATATTTCTGATATTTTGATCTTAAATAGTAAGGTCAAGTCAACTAATGAAATAAAGACAGTGATCTTTCCCGAAGAATTGAAGAAGTTTGATCCGTACGGAAAAGAACTAGACAACTTAATCGAACAAGAAAAAACGTTCATTAATGAATTGAAGAACCAATGGGCCAATTTATCGGAAGATCCAAAGGTCAAGGAGATTCAATCATCGAAGCAATTCCAAAGCAATTTAATTAAACACCAAACCGACAAAATTGTAAATTTCTACAATCAAAACTGGAAGAAGTACAGCTTGGGATTAAGTGCAGGGGTGGACTTCTACAACAAACTTTTGACCTACGCTCGACTGCTCAAGCAAAACATCGCTACAGCAGTAAATGCACCTCCCCAATCCTCTTTTAATGAGAGCTTCAGTAATTTGAATTTGGGCGCACAACACCTGGGACTTCAAGCTCCACCTCGTCCTAACCAGTCGTACGGACCCTCAAACGGTGACCGGTCTGGAGTACCACAGTACAACACTAGCCACTTTTCGTATAATTCACCTTCGTTGAACCGCAATCTCCCACCCCAGTACTCCCAGTCTTCGCTACACCGATCGTCTACTGGTGAAAGCTTTGCCAGCCACCACTCCAACGAAAGCCCAGGCTCCTATTCGAGGCCACCCCCAGCTCTCCCACCGAAAAGACCATCTTATTCGTCCCAGCCTACACCACATTTAAGTTCCCAAGCCCCATACACCCAACTCCAACCCCAAGCCCCCAACTACACGGATACCTCCTCTTCACCTGCAAATCCGACGAACTTGCCTCAACACCCGGATTCCGGCGCCAACGACCTCATCTACAATCAACCGTCGACATACCAGCCAAACATGTATAATTTCTTCTCAAGTAATTAGATAAATATACAATGTATGGTAGCCGATACTGTATGTAATACAATTCACTCATAGCCTCTATTCAATATACATATTGCACAATGCTCGTAGTTCAACACAATAACCTGAGGCCATGTTAGTGAAGCCTCCATAAAGTCATCGATTTACCTCGTATATCATCACCGTACTCACAACACTTACTCAATGATTGTAGAACCCATTTTGCAATCATTTACCTCTACACTTGATGCAAATTCATCAATTATGCGGCAGATCCACTAATTAGTCCCAATTCGGAAATACATCAATAACTAAAAATTTGCCTTAAACGCGAAGACTGAAGATATAAATAGATGAATCAAGAAAATTTCTTACAATTTTTAACCAACCAGCTCTATTATACGTTTAGTAGATCTAGATCAGTTATAATTTCTATTGAGAGGTTGTTCTATTTGTATTTGAGGAAGTTAGTTAGCTAAAATTCAGTTGAGTAATAGACATATTAATAGATCGGAAAAGTAAAATTACCTAGATCTTCATATACAATCGCTAGGATGAAATTTGCTATTTATCAAAGTTGGTGCTTATTGCTGGTGATTCTTTCGCTCTTGCAATTTACTCTTGGAGATGATGATGATGTTATTAAGTGTGATAAAGACAACAAGTGCCCTAAGTCGGCACCTTGTTGTTCGCAATATGGACAATGTGGGACCGGGGCTTTTTGTTTGGGGGGATGTGATGTTAGATTTTCGTACAGTTTAGAAGCCTGTATGCCTATGCCACGTATGTCTGACTTTAATACGTCATTTACATCAACCAAACAGCTTCAAAAACAAAACGAGTACTTGGGAAACTCATCTGAAACAGATTGGCTTTATACGGGATATATCGACACACATGACGATGCGTTGTTATTACAAATGCCTAACCATACATCGGGTACTGTTATTTCGTCGTCTAAGTACTTGTGGTACGGAAAAGTGTCTGCCAAGTTGAAGACTTCTCGTGACGGGGGTGTTATTACTGCTTTCATTTTGTTCTCTGATGTGCAAGATGAAATCGATTTTGAATACGTTGGTTACGACTTGACTCATCCACAGTCAAACTACTATCACCAGGGTATCTTAAATTACAACAATGCCGAAAACTCGACCTCTTCCAATACTTACAAGAATTATCACACCTACACTATCGACTGGCAAGAGGACAAGATCGACTGGTACGTCGACGACAAAAAGGTTCGTACGTTAGAAAAGAAGGACACCAAGAATGAAACCACTGGTCATTATGATTATCCTCAGACCCCATCTCGTATTCAAATGTCGTTATGGCCAGGTGGTGCCAGCTCGAACGGTCTCGGTACCATTGAATGGGCCGGTGGTGAAATCAACTGGGACTCCACCGACATTAAGAAGACTGGATACTACTACGCTTACTTGAAGGAGGTTGAAGTCACAGCTTATGATTTGCCTGATGACGTAGAGCTCGACGGCGATGAAGATCCCGATGAATTGCATGCTTTCCTCTTCAACTCTACCGACGGAAACATGGAAAACATCTTCTTGACCGACAAGAAAACCTGGTTAGGAAACGGTGACGCGACTGGTCTCGATCCCGATAACAAAAAAAAGAAGAGTTCCAAGTCGAGCTCGAAGTCCAAATCCAAGTCAGGCTCTAAGGGTAGTTCTACCTCCAAAACCATAGCTGTTCCTACCGATCCAAAGGCCACTATTGGAAATGCCGACGACGGTGCTGCCACCTACAATCCTAGCGGAGGCATTGGTGGGTTTGTCCAAAGCTCAAAAAAAACAGATGATTCATCTGGATCTTCTTCAAGTTCTAATGACTCCCCAGCCTTTAATATTGCCACCACCTTAGGAGTTGTTTCTGCCACCATGTTTGGTGTTATCTCCTTGTTCTTCTAGAGCACATATATATACATATACTTAGTCATTTTTTATACTAGTTTCTAATAAAGTCATATGAAGTTGGTTGTACCATAGTAATTCGATTTTGAGCCCGCGCTTAATTGGATCGTGTCCAAACATTTTTCCATCAACAACAAATTGACCACCGAATCAAATTTACATGGTTAAGATTGGAATATTATAAGGATTTGAACAATTGAAACTTTAAAATTAATTGATATATATATCGTCGAGGTGTTATAGTTATCAGGATAGACCTATTTAATATTTGGTATATTCATATTAATTTTTCTTAGAAAAAAGTATTCAAAATGAAGATGCTAACTAAGTTTGAATCCAAATCTTCAAGAGCCAAGGGGGTTGCATTCCATCCTAAAAGGCCTTGGGTTTTGGTTTCCTTACATTCATCAACTATTCAATTATGGGATTATCGTATGGGAACATTGATTGATCGTTTTGAAGATCACGAAGGTCCAGTCAGATGTGTTGATTTCCATCCTACTCAGCCATTGTTCGTGTCTGGTGGTGATGACTATTCAATCAAAGTTTGGTCGCTTAACACGCGTAAATGTATCTTTACGTTGAACGGACACTTGGATTATATTCGTACAGTTTCATTTCACCGTGACTTGCCGTGGATTATTTCTTGTTCGGACGATCAGACCATCAGAATCTGGAACTGGCAAAACCGTCAGGAAATCGCTTGTTTGACGGGACACAACCACTATGTGATGTCGGCACAATTCCACCCTAGCGAAGACTTGATAGTTTCGGCATCGTTGGATCAAACGGTCAGAGTTTGGGATATTTCTGGGTTGAGAAAGAAGCATTCTGCGCCAACTTCGTCGATGAGATCATTCGAAGACCAATTACAAAGACAGCAGTTACCCCAACAAGATATCTTTGGGAACGTTAATGCTATTGTCAAGTACGTATTGGAAGGCCACGACAAGGGTGTCAATTGGGCTGCTTTCCATCCTACTTTGCCATTGATTGTATCCGCCGGTGATGACAGATTGGTCAAGTTATGGAGAATGAGTGACACTAAGGCCTGGGAAGTTGATACTTGTAGGGGCCACACAGGTAACGTGTTATGTGCTACATTCCACCCAAATCAAGATTTGATCGTTTCGGTATCTGATGATAAAACCATTAGAGTTTGGGATTTGAACAAGAGAACACCCGTTAAGCAGTTTAGACGTGAACATGACAGATTTTGGTTAGTTGCATCGCATCCAAATATTAACTTGTTTGCTACCTGTCACGACTCGGGTGTCATGGTATTTAAATTGGAAAGAGAAAGACCTGCCCATGCAATTTTTCAGAACAAATTATTCTACGTCAATAATGAGAAGCAAGTTCAATGCTACGATTTCCAAAAGAATGAAAATTCATTACCAATGTTATCATTAAAGAAGATTGGTAAGGCTTGGTCGTTCATGAGAACCTTATCCTACAATCAATCCGATAATTCGATTTTAGTTACCCATGGTGAAGGTGACGCTGGTATGTACGCGTTGATTGCTTTACCAAAACATGTAACTGGTGCCATAGAGCCTACTGATGTTAGACAAGGTGAAGGTAATTTTGCATGTTTTATTTCTCGTAACAGATTCGTCAGTTTTGTTAAATCTACGAAGAGTTTAAATGTTAAAGATTTAAATAATAATGTTACCAAGAGCATTCAATTGGATTCTTCTGTGAACGATGTCTTATATGGAGGTGCAGGCCGTGTTTTATTGGTGAAGAGTCACTCCGTTATAAATTACGATGTTCAACAAAGAAAAGAATTATCAGAACTTAATGTTAATAACGTGAAATACGTTTCCTGGTCCAATGATGGTCAATATCTAGCTTTATTGTCTAAACATACTATCACTATTGCCACTAAGGATTTAGAATTGGTAACATCGATGCACGAAACTATCAGAATTAAGAGTGCTGCTTGGGACGACACAGGAGTCTTGTTATATTCTACTTTGAACCACATTAAATATACTTTATTGAACGGTGATAATGGTATTATCAAAACTTTAGAAAATACCTTGTATATCACTAGAGTAGCCCAAAAACAAATTTATTGTTTAGATCGTGCTGGCCAAGTTCAAGTTGTTACTATCGATCCTACTGAATACAGATTTAAGAAATCATTAGTGAACAAGAACTTCAACGAAGTCTTAAGAATCATCAAGAACTCTAACTTAGTTGGTCAAAACATTATTGCCTATTTACAGAAGAAGGGATACCCAGAAGTTGCATTGCAATTCGTTGAAGATCCTGAAACAAGGTTTGAATTAGCTTTAGAGTGCGGTAACTTACAGGTGGCTTTAGAACAAGCTAAGACATTGAATAATAACAGTATTTGGGAAAAGTTAGGTGATGAAGCCTTGAATCAAGGTAATGTTGAAATTGTTGAATTAGTTTATCAACAATTACATTTATTTGATAAATTGTCATTCCTTTACTTGTACAAGGGTGATGGTGAAAGATTAAATAAAATGGCAACGATTGCTGAACATCGTGGTGATTACTCATCGTTAATACAAAATACTTTCTATAACAATGATATCAAAAAGAGATGCCAGGTTTATATTCAGGGTGGAATGTTACCATTGGCTTATACATTAGCTAAATCTAATGGTCTCACCGAATTGGCTGCACAGATTTTGCAAGAAGCGGGTGTTGAAGAGAAGGACGTTGAATTACCGGAACTTGGTCAATCTGTGCCATTACCGGAACCTTTGAGTGAACCAGTTGGTAACTGGCCGATGAAAGAATCTTCATTATCTTTCTTTGAGAATGCTTTAATAACTGGCCAGGTTGAGAACTTATCCATCGAGGATGATACTGAAGAGAAATTCCAAGAATCTACTAATGCTTTAGACATTGTTGATGATGACATGGATGAAGAAGGTGAAGAAGATGAAGGTGCTTGGGATTTGGATGATGATGCGTTAGACATTGATGATGAAGTTGTTGAAGCTACTCCAGGAATTGAACTTGATGATTCATTGAAGTCAGCAGCAACAGAAGGTGAAATTGGCTACTGGCTTCGTAATGCAAAGACACCAGCTGGCTATGTTGCAGCCGGTGCATTCGAACAAGCCGCATCTATGTTACATAAACAACTAGGAGTTGTTGACTTTGAACCTTTACGTAAACGTTTCTTAGAAGTTTTCCAAGCTTCGAAATTGTACTTACCGGGTGTTGACGATTTACCATCAATGAAAACCTTTATCAGGGCTGATAATGACGAAGATAATCCAAGTAAGTTCGCACCATATGTTCCAGGATTTGAAAACTTGGAAGACCGACTCGCGCTTGGATTTAAACAGTTCAAGGCTAACAACTTGGAAAATGCTATAAGCACTTTCAGAGATATTATTTATACAGTCGCGGTTATAACAGTCGAGGATGAACAGCAAGAAGCAAAATGTACAGATGTATTGACTGTTTGTCGTGAATATATCTTAGGCTTATCCATTGAGTTGGCTCGTCGTGCTTTGGACCCATCTGAAGTCAAACGTAACTTAGAATTGGCCGCTTATTTCACCAGAGCCAAGCTCCAAAGCCCACACAGGATTAATGCATTGCAAGTGGCAATGACTCAATCTTTCAAGAATAAAAACTTTGCAAGTGCATCTTACTTTGCAAGTGAACTCTTATCGATTTCATCTACAGGTCAAAGAGCTGAGCAAGCTCAAAAGTTGAAAGCCAAGGCCGACTCGGTTTCCAGTGATGCAATTGAAATTGATTTTGATCCATATGCTGAATTTGATATTTGTGCTGCCACCTTCACTCCAATCTATAAGGGATCGTCATCTGTTACCGAAGCTTTAGTTGGTGCTAAATATCACCCTGAAGAGCAAGGTAATATATGTAAAATAACTGGCATTACTGCAATTGGTGCACAAGCTTCTGGTTTACGTATCAGAGGATAAGCGTATATTCTGTTAATAAAGGCTTACAAAAGGTTGTTCCTTTTCTATACTAGATCGTTTTGATTATTGATTTTTGTATAATTTTTATGTATACTTGACGTCTTTATTTGTTATGTAGAAATGGCTCGTGACCTTAATATTTTTTTTCAACTAAAATTTGTATGATAATAGACAACGTATTCAACACGTAAAGAGGGTATTAATAGATTCTTAATAGAACATCATGTCTAACAACAAGGAAGAAGCTATCAAACTCAAGGATGAGGGAAACTCGCATTTAAAAGAACATCGTTATGATGATGCTATTAAGTCGTATACTAAAGCGATTGAATTGGATTCAGCAAATGCAGTTTTCTATTCCAATAGAGCCCAAGTTCATATTAAATTAGAGAACTATGGATCAGCTATTGCGGATTGTAATGAAGCTTTGAAAGTTGATCCAAACATGATGAAAGCATACTACCGTAGAGGTATTTCTTTAATGGCCATCTTGAATTACAAAGAAGCACAGATCAATTTCAAAGAGATTTTGAAGAGAATGCCAAACGATAGATTGACGTTGGAGAACAACAAACAATGCACAAGCTTCTTGAAGAAACAGGCATTTGAAAAGGCCATCGCGGGAGACGTGAAGGAATCGGTGATTAACAGTATCAACTATAATGATTTGATAATCGAGAAAACCTGGGAAGGTCCCGAATTATCGATAAGTGCCAAAAGAGAAAATAAGGAGTCTGACCTTGAAGTTGAAATAGAAGGGTTAGATTTAGATTATTTGAAGTACATGATCCAACTTTTCAAAGATGGAGGCAAATTACCAAAGAAACATGTTCATGCAATTGTTGCAAAGGTGCGTCAATTGTTCAAAAACGAAAGCAGTATGGTAGAGGTCTCTCAAGCTCATTCGAAGCTTTCTTCTAGTGAGTCGCCAGACGAAATTCTTTTGTCAAAAGCAAAGAAATTTACGGTCGTTGGGGACACACATGGACAATTTTATGACGTTTTAAATCTTTTCCAGAAATTTGGATACGTATCTGAAGAACACGCTTATTTATTCAATGGTGATTTTGTTGATAGAGGTTCGTGGTCATGTGAAGTTGCATTGTACTTATACGTTTTAAAGATTTTGTACCCTACTTCAGTCTTTATTAACAGAGGAAATCATGAAACTAATGACATGAATAAAACATATGGTTTCACTGATGAGTGTGAGCATAAATACTCCAAAAAGATATTCGAAGCATTCGCCGAGTCCTTTGGTGCCTTACCATTAGCCACTTTAATCAACCGTTCATATTTATGTATGCATGGTGGTTTATTCTCTGATTCTAAAGTCAAAATAGAAGACATCAAAAAGATCAACCGTTTCCCAACTTCTGGTTCAACTCAACCAGCAAGAGATGGCATTGGAATGGAATTATTATGGACAGATCCACAACCAACGAATGGTTGTTCCCCATCCAAGAGAGGTATTGGTATGCAATTTGGTCCTGATATAACCGAAAGATTCTGCTTAACCAATAAGATTAGAAAGGTTTTAAGGTCCCATGAAGTGAGAATGGGCGGTGTAGAAGAAGAGCACAACGGTAGATTAATCACGGTCTTTAGTGCACCAAATTATTGCGATTCTACTGGTAATTTGGGCGGTGTTGTTCATTTTACTGAAAATGACAAATATGATAAAGAAAAGGATGATGGTGAAGGATATAGAGCCTCTGATGATGCTAACTGTCCATGGAACTTGCAAATTGAAACATTTGAAGCCGTTCCACATCCTGATTTAAAGCCAATGGCTTATTCTAAGAGTGGATTTGGATTTTAAGTAATTCATTTAAATCTTGTATTATAGTCCTTCTATGTATATCTATTAATTATAGATATCGAATCTTTTTGAATGTATATTCTTTTTAAATTTGCTCATTTCTTCTGTAAGTGGAATGTTTTGTGTACGAGCCAGTCTATAACCGAATGTAAATCGAGTATCAAATTTCTAGACAAATATTTTCAAGTCTTCATTATAAAAGAATGCAACCATCATATAATAGTAGTACCCAAAACCCAGACGATGACGATGATGCTCCTGATGAATGGGATCAAAGAATTATGAATACGGGATGCCACGAAGAGAACCTCAAGTTACAACTCTGTCATGCCGATACTGGAGACTGGAGACAGTGTTTGAAAGAAATGCAAGATTTCAAAAAATGCTGGGATGCAAACAAGAACAATGAAAGAACACACACAGTCAATAACGATGAATAAACGTTTGTTTTGGTTTGGCGTTTGTTAAAGCAAAATTATTACATGTATATAGCACATATGAAATCATGAACGGGTTCCTGTTAATAGATCAATTTACACCCAAGTTTTGAGTTTAATTCTATATCGTAAGAACACCCGAGTCTAAGTTCTGATACTCGACTAAATTATAATTGTCTACTTTTCGTTAGTAAGTTCAGGCTTATTTATTTTCGCCTTCTTTAACTTATTCAATTTCTTTTGTCTAGCAGCCCTCTTTTTAGCTGTTTTGGCGTATAATTCACTTTCCTTCTTGTCTTTCTTTGTTTGAAATTCTAATGCTTCTTCGCTTTTCTGGACCTTCAATTGTTCTGCTTTGCTTAATTCGGTTTGCTGTCGTTTGTTTCTAATATAATTAGAATAATCAAAAGATTTTTTTTGAGCTACCATTTAAGTCAGTATTTGTCTCTAAGTTAATCCAAGGGTCAAATTACTTACATTTATCTTTCTTGTCCGTAGTGTCATCTGCAATTGGAGTCTCCGTATCATTTGCATGTGCTTCATCTTGCAGTCCAGCAATTGGCACCAAATTTGAGGACTTTTTCATCAATTGTTCCAATTGCTTTCTCTGTTGATCCAATAAAGACAACGGCATAGTCGATTCTTAGTTATTTCATGAGTCTATTTTGAGTAGATCATTTATATCAAGACTTAAAAAATGTGAACTTATCTAACCTCACAAAAATATTTGTAAACACAAAATATGATATACTACAAATATCATAGATTCAATGTTTTAATATGGTAAGCATAGTTAACCATTTGTCTGAAATATCAAGCGATAGCGATGATTACGAAGAACCAAATGACATGCAAACGGGAAAAATACCAGAAAATCTGATCTCTATAGATACAAGCGATGAATATGATGATGATAATTTCGACAATAATACAGAACGATCACAGCCAAATTTGAGCGTGTATCCTTCACTTCATATGAATGGTAATGTCTACAGAACCGAAGAGGAGTTTCAAGCCGAAATCAATCGTTTAAAAAAGCAAAGCACTAATAGGTTCAAATCTAAATGGGAAGAGATATTGGAAAGGTATGCACAAATTGATGATGAAAAGGAGAGCGATGAAATAGATCTAGCATCAGGTGAGATAATAACGGATAATGGTCACTTAAGATCTCTTAGGACTGATATAGGAACCAATACAGATGTGAAGTTTGACGGTGATATTTGGTCGGTAACGTACGACTTGGAGAGAGATATACGTAATAGATATGTTAAAGAGACAAGACACAAACAGCAGAAGAGGGAGTTGAAGCGACAGTTAAAAGACCAAAAACTATTCCACAACGTTTCGTTGCAAACATCGCCTCTTAAAGCAGACGATTTCACTCGGGGAAGCTCTTTCGCCCTGTCCTCGGAAGATAATTTATTGTCGTTAAACCCATCTCCAACAAAGAAATTTAAAGTATCACCAATCAAGGGTATTAGAGGCTCAAGTCCAGTACGCGATGATGATATCTCACTTCTTACACCTACGAAAAGGAGATCTCGTAAGTTATCAAATATGTATGATGCGAAAAGCCTTCCAACAAAATTACATTTTGATGATATACCACGCCTTCATACGGAAGATTACAATATAGCTAAGGAAGGTGACGAAAGCTATGGCGACATGATTAGTAGTCCTTTTTTTGTGTATAATAATTCGTTGCATGATAGTAGAGGCTACGAAACAAACTCTCCACAAGATTATGACGATGATACCCCAAACACAGCAACTGTCTCAGATGGGAAAGGATACGTTGAAACATCAGAAACGTCCGATGTAGGATCGGATGACAATAAGGCCGCCAAAGTTTCTTTTTCTGATGCAAACCAGTATGTGTCTGAGAGTGAAAATGAGAATGATGATTATAGCTTGGATTTTGATGAAGAATTCCTGATTGTGACTGATCCTTGCATATATCCGCCAACAGAAAGTTCTACTACTATATATAATTGTGCCATTGAACATTGCTATTATTGCACAGGTAATAAATCATTATATCAAAGCCATTTATTGGATAAGCATTCGACCTTACTACATTCATTAGGGTATCCAATTAGGGAAGATACGTCTATCATTCTGAACCCCAATATTTCCCAAAGTACTATCAAAAAGTTGACTAAATACTTTCCATTAATATTTGAAGTCCCACGTTTGCCACTTTCCAAGAATAGCCAACCATTTATTTGCGGGCTAAATCTTGGAAATTCCAGAGTTTGTCATAAATTCTTTGTTACAGAACATGATCTTATTTTGCATCAACAAAACGCTCCTAATAAATGCTCTTACAAGAAGCAGGTATTAATATGTCCTATGTTAGGGTGTGGATATATGACGGATATGGGCTATTTGGAGTGGCGATCTCACTTCATAGAGAAGAAGCATCATCTTGATCCAAAACATAAAAGAAATAAACAGAATGAAGGAAGCTTCAAGCATGAAGAAAAAGGGCGGAATGAAGAGTCAAATCTCACGCAATTAAGTTACATCCCAAATCCAGGTGAAGAAGAGGAATATGAGAAACCCAGTCATCTTGATAAAATCAACACTTCAAGTTTGAATATCACAAATCTGGATCAGCCGACTAAGGTTTCAAAGCCTACTGAGGTTTTAACTATACTTGACGTAGTTAACGAAATTAATGATATTTTTAGTGATTCGGGATCTGATGGTTCCATTAACGAATATCTTAGTGACGACGATGGCATAGAATTTAGTAAAATGAGCGTAGACGTAAAACATGATCCACGAAGACCATACCAAACTGAGATACCGAATTTAAAAATACAATTAAATTTGCATGAAGATTTGCCATATCCCTTGGATGAAGATTTGCAGACTGGTTATGAATCTATAGAAGAGTTATTTGACGACTGATAGTGTAATGTAATATAGATGTATATTCTTTTACCGATATAAATCTTAATAAAAACAAACATGATTTATTTATAATGATACTATGTACAATATATAGAACAAGCTTTACAGCTCCTTAATTATCGGTCTTTTCTTCGGCATTAGGATTCTTTGGTTTACCCTTGAAAGCATCCTTACCCTTAATATACTTATCAAAGGCATCATTGCGTTCTGGAAATGGTCTTGGACCAACAAGTCTGATCATGTCTTCTCTTGTTAATACTTCTTTTTTAAATAATTCTTCAGCTACTTTATCAACTAATTCGATTTTTTCAGTCAACAATTTATGACAAGCTTCATATGCCTCGTCCACGAACTTTCTGACTTCAGTATCGATCAATCTTGCCGTAGTTTCCGAATAGTTATTATGAACTTTAAATCCGCCCTCATTATCACTCGAATCGTAATAAATACTACCTATGCTATCTGACATTCCTAACTTCAATACCATCAGTTGGGCCATTTGCGTAATTTTCTTGAAATCATCCGATGCACCACTAGTAACAGTATCGAAATGCAACTCTTCGCTAACTCTACCACCCAATGTCATAACCATTCTATGTTTGTACTGTTCTTTCGAAACCAAATATTGATCTTTAGGCAAATATTGAGCGTAACCTAAGGCACCTTGACCTCTTGGGATAATAGAGACTTTAACTAAAGGATCGGCAAATTGTAAGAACCAACCACAGATGGCATGTCCAGCTTCATGATATGCAACAGTTTTCTTTTCTTCAAGACTCAAGATACGGGATTTTTTCTCTAACCCTGCGACAACTCTTTCAATCGCTTGCTCGAAGTGATGCGTATCAACAGAAAGTGCATCTTCTCTAGCAGCAATTAAAGCACCTTCATTACAACAATTAGCAATATCAGCACCAGCAAAGCCAGGTGTCAAAGCACTTAATCTACCTGCTAAGTTGTTAATAGCATCAGCCTTTAATTCTTGGTATTTGTTAAAATCAACATCTTTCTGAGTAGCCTTGATATCTTCATCACATTTCAAAGTTAATTTAGATAAATGAACCTTGAAAATTTCTTTACGACCTTCGACATCAGGAATATCAATAGAAATGTGTCTATCGAATCTACCAGGTCTCAATAAAGCCTTATCCAAAACATCTGGACGATTAGTACCTGCCAAGACCACGACATGGTCACCGGTATCAAACCCATCCATTTCAACCAATAACTGGTTCAAAGTATTTTCTCTTTCATCATTTCCACCCATTTTGCCATTACCTCTTTCTTTACCAATGGCATCAATTTCATCGACGAAAATGATAGCTGGGGCCATCTCACGAGCAGTTTTGAATAGATCACGAACTCTAGACGCACCGACACCAACAAACATTTCAACAAACTCGGAACCGGAAACAGATAAGAAAGGAACACCTGCTTCACCAGCAGTTGCTTTTGCCAACAAGGTTTTACCGGTACCTGGGGAACCTGACAAGATCGCACCTCTTGGAATTTTAGCACCCAATTTTTCATACTTAGTAGGGTTTTGTAAAAACTTCACGAATTCCATAATTTCTTCTTTGGATTCCTCACATCCAGCGACATCCTTAAACTTAATTTTGACTTCAGCTTCCTGGTTGAATAATTTGGCTTTCGACTTTCCAACTTTGAAAATGCCGCCTGGTCCACCAGGACCAGCACCACCTTGGGAAGACGCTCTTCTTACAGTCATATAATATAAACCACCAATTAATAAAACGGTAGGCAAAATCGGTAAAATGTAGTTCATCCACGATCCTCTTTCTTCATATGAGATAGGCAATCTTTCATCTATTGGGATCCCCAAACTTTCTTGAATATTATTCATTTCCTCTTCGAAAAACTCGACCGATCCGATGGTGAAAACTACAGCTGGATGACCGCTGAAAGTCTGGAACGTTTGATCCGATACAGCCCCTTGAATTAATTGGGCCTCAACCGCAAACTTATTCACAACTGTCAACTTGGTAACTAAACCACGCTCAAGGTAATTCGTCTTAAAGTCCTGGAACGATAACTCGTTTTCGTTTCGTTGGTTTGACGCAAGGAGAAATGTAAGGAAAAGTGAAAAGAAAAAAATCCCTGCAAATGCACGAGCTAGCGACTTGTTATCGAACTGATATATTTTGATATTATTAGGATCTAGATTAGGGTTCTTCTTCTTAAGATTTTCTCTAATTTGATCTCGAATATCTTTCTCTTCTTGATCCATGTCCTTCTTATTCTTACCCTTTTCCTTCTCTTCTTCTTTGGATTCTCTGTCATCTTTCCCTCTATTTCCTTCTTGGTCCTGCTTTTTCTCTGGATCCTTATTTTCTTTGTCCAACACCGCCCTTGAGCCATGAAATAATAATGGCTGATTGAAACTTGTAAATGTTCTCATTGGTATCGTCAGACATCTCAAATGATTCAACGGCCTAATTCTTATCCCCGTTCTCATGATAGAACTTATCGCCGGGCCTCTCAAGACACGTATTGAGTTGGATACTATCATTTGAAAGGTCTACCGATCTATTTTATGCTAATAATCAATGAAAAGTGTGTTCTTCATCTCCAGTAAAGGGCACTTTTCGCCTTCGTACTATAATTCTCGAATATTTGGCCCGACGCACGTGACACGTTAACACTAATACTATAACAATGATTAACATTAACCCTATATAAAGATACCCTATACCTAATTACATTCTACTGCTGACAAATTCATCCCAGCTTGTCTCGCATATCTTCAAGAACTTTTCCTTATCCCTGGCTAAATCGTCCTTGTCATCAGGGGCCGCATCAGGGGATGAAAGGTCCAGGTTGAAGATCTTGAAGTTGAATACGCTCTCGTTCATGATATTAATGGAGCCGAAAACCTGTTCCTTGACTTCGTCCTTTGCCAATGCTGAGGACTGTTCGTCGTCGATATCGATGGCTGTACTTTCGACGTCATTGTTGTATTTTTCTTGCATTTCTTTAATTTCGTCTTCTGACACTGGCATTCTGTCGTCGTCCACTTCGTCATCACCATCCTTATCAGACGTATTAAATACTTCGCGTTGGGATGATAACGGCTGTGAGTGCAATGGGGCCGCTTTCGTGTAGTCCCCGTGGTAGACATCGGTCACTGTATTGGCATTCTTGGGTTGTTTGTGGTACACGGCCGTGGGATGAGCCATTCCGAAGCTAGCAACACCCTTGGGGTGATGAATGGGAAAATAGCGGGCCGTGCTGGTATAGGGAGTCATTCTGACCCTCTGCATGCCCTGTACTCTCCCAGGATAACCGGTGTACGCGACCGGTTGTGGAAGCATGTACCGGTATCTTCTATTACTTGCCTGGGCATACGGATGGGCATTCTGATGTTGCACCTGGATCTGATAGGGCACGTATCTCTTTGGATACGCTCTTGACGCCATAGACACCCTATTTTGCCTTATGGGTGCAGACTGGATCGTAGGGTTGGCCGATGGCCCAATGTTCATCTTCAACGGAGTAGGAATATTCTCTCTCTTCAATCTTTTGATACTTGTTGGTGTCGACAACTTATCCATTTCATCTGGCAACGTGCTGTTTGATTCACTCACCACAACCGTTTCACTATCGTTTACCACCATATTGTTACCGTCCTCAATACTTGCACTACCACTATTGGAGTGTCTTGCTGCAATAAGATTTTTTTGTTGCTGTTCAATTTTTTGGGAAAGCTTAATGGTAGATTTCATCTCTTCATTCAATGGGGGCAACCCTGGACTCACGATCCGTAATGCAAGGTCTGAATTTTTGTCATCACTTAATTCCAATGAGGTAGGTCTGGGTTTATCATTTTTTCCAAGACTTAATTTGGGAGCAACTCCTACTCGACTTTGGGACATATTAGTATATCTGTATTTCCTCTGCTCGCAGTTACAACCGATATACCTACAAGTACTAGGGTAATTAAGTCTAAGATAAGAGGATCATATAAGGCACGACGAGATCGATATGTATTAGAAGTGTATGTTTTCACCCTTAATCTCCTGTATATACCGCGCTTTTGTTTCAGAACTGTTCCAGGCTTCAATATATTATGCTAGAGACTAATAAGACGTATAAATGCGCTAGATATATAGAAGCAGTGTTGAAACACACTGCATTGCTATGAAATACAAGTCAAACCGGAAAAAAACTAGTAAAAGCTCAAAACAAATTTAAAGTATGTACATATACATGTACGACATACATAGATAACAGAGTATGTACGTAGACGTAGGATGCATAGAGTACAGGGAAAGTAGAACTAAATTTGACTAAGTGAAGTTTTCCCATCCCTTAGGTCTTTGAAGGTTCTTGATAGTGTAGAATTTGGTAGTACACGAGTAACCCTTCCAGGTGAAATCTTCATCGGGATTACACACACACTTGTTCTTCAATCTGGTTTCCTTGGAGACCGGACAGTTGTGGAATGGAACGTGGTAGTATCCGACGTCATCGAAGAAGTGGACTTGGTCTTTTTGCAAGAACAAGGCTGCTGCAATCGAATGGACTGGCGCATCACCCCATCTCTCGTAGAAGAAACCTCCGTTCTTGTCCAAGGTGTCGAAGTATGCGGTGTATGCTTCGGATCTCCACAACTTCAAGCTTGCGATTTCAAAATTGGACCAGAAGTGACATCCGTTATATGTTTCGCCGTTGTCGTTGGAAATCCATTCCATCAAGTTGTCCTTGGCGACATGTTGTGGGTTTTCCTTGATGAATTTCTTGGTGACGTCCCACAATGTTGGAATGGTTTCCTTATACTCAGGTAACGAAATGGTGAAACCATACGCCTTGTTATTATCGCTCATCCACTTGAACACATCGTAGTCAACGTCACAGTAAATCTTGATATCTGGCTCGACTCTCCAGTAGTAGTCGTAGTCCATCATCAACTCATGTCTCCAGAAAAACCCAGATTCGTAACGACACATGTGCCTGTACGACTTCGAATCACCGTAGATGATTCCCTTTTCCTTCATCTGTTCCCTGGTCAACGCAGCCTTTTCTTGGTCGATCCATGGTGGGAAAGACCACTGTTCCTCTGGAATTAAACCATATTTGGTGGTACCCGAAACAACGGCACTGGTAACCTCTTTGAATTCGTCAGAAAACGGTTGATCGTTTAAGAAAACCCAGTCGTAGTTAAACTTGTGGTTGAAACGATCTTCGACCTGTCTGATCGATCCAAGCAACGAATTTAAGTCAGAATTTCTAGCAAGCGACACAAACGTAGCCTTAACCTTATCCTTCTTGTTAGCTCCTCCTTCTGCCTTTGGCTTGGCTGCTGCTGGTACGTTTTGATTTGGCATCTGCAATTCCGCTTGCACATTTCCGCCTCCATTACCGGCAGCATCACCACCACTTACACCACCTTCACGACTAACACTTCCATCACTAGCTGGCTTGGCTTGCAAATTTGTACCTGGGTTAGCGTCAGCATTATAGTATGAGCCTCTTGAAAGAATAAACCCACATCCAATCAAAATAAGAGCAAACACTGCAAATCTTATAATACGGGCATTTGACCTAGAAGACCCCATCCTCGATAATTAAATATTCTTCAAATTGAAAATGATCGAATGAAATCTAATAAAAGAAAATTCAAATTCCATTAATATCACCGAAGTTTTATTTAATAAACCCTTACAACCGCGTTTACAGGTTATTGTACGTGTTCACAATTTTTTTACACCAAAAATATTTTTCGTACTAATCAAGGCAGTTCTGGACATATCTCTAAGCGAATGGTTACAGACAGGAACAGCAGGCATTACTTGCCGAACAATACGCCATGTATGTACTGAATTATAATATTGGTGGGTGATCTATTAAATAATTGTGTATTATATATATACGGATATGAGCTACAAGGCCGGATGCAGAATAGAGGGTCTAGTGGATTATAGAATTATTTTAGACCAACAGTAGATCTATATATGGTGCATATAGACAGATATGGGTCTAGGTATAATTCACCCATTCCTTTGGTTTTTCTTTCTTCATAACGTCGTAGTACCTGGTACCACATGAGTAGCCCCTGAAGGTGAAGTCAGACTTGGGGTCACAGTGGCACTTATGGTCGTATCTGAATTGAGAATTAAGCGGACATTGAGTGTACACTCCGTGGTTGTAGCCAACGTCTTCGAAGTAGTGAACCTGGTCCTTGGAAAGGAAAAGGGCCGCAGCAATCGAATGGACTGGGGCATCGCCCCATCTCTCGTAGAAGAAGCCTCCAGTTTTGTCCAAGTAGTCGAAAAAGTCTCTGTATGCCTGCGAACGCCAGAATTTCAACGAGGCCACCTCGAAGTTGGACCAGAAATGGCACAAATTGTACGTTTCACCCTTGTTGTCGGAAATGAAGTCCATGAGGTTGTCTTCCGCCAAGTATTGAGGGTTCATCTTGATGAAGTCCTTGACGTGGCCCCATAACGATGCAATCGTCTTTTCAAACTCGTAGATCGAAATCGTGAATCCGTACACCTTGTTGTTGTCCTCCATGTACTTGAAAAGATCGTAGTCCAAGTCGCAGTGGATTTGGATGCCAGGCTCGACTCTCCAATACCAATCGTACTCATCTAACAACGGATTTTGCCAGAAGAAACCCGACTCAAACCGACACATGTGTCTGTACGATTCTGAGTCACCGTAGATGATACCGGCAGCTTTCATGGCCTTCCTCGATTCCGCTGCCTTGTCCATGTCGATCCAATCGGGGTATGACCAATGTTCCTTGGGAATCAACCCATATTTGGTTTTTCCTGATACAATCGACGTGGTCAAGTTCTTGAATTCGTCGGTGAATGGCTCGTCGTTCAAAAACACCCAATCGTAGTTGAATTTACGGTTGAACCGATCCTCCACTCGTCTCACAGACTTGATTAAGTCGTACAATTCTGAGTTTCTGGCCAACGTCACAAACGTCGCTTTGACCCGTTCTCCAGGATATACCTCATTTACAGCGGCAACCTGATCATTACTTGCGCTCGAGTCACTCACGACTTGGCCAGTAGCTTCGTCAATTTCTGCCTCCTCAATCTGTATATGCGCTTGTTCCTGTTCCTTATCGTTATTCTTTATCGGAGTTTGAATTTTTCTCGGAGTATCTACCACAACGTTGTTAGGGCCGTCCATATCGCTGCCCTGGAAGTCTTTCACGATTTCATTCGTAGCTTTATCTATATAAACAACCTGAGGCCTCAAAAACACCGAAAGCAGATATAACACCAATAGTGCTATACCTATGGCCGCTACCCTAATAACAGGAGTTCTTATCATGCCGGTAAATCGTAAACAATTGAAGAAAAAGAATAATACAATTTGTGAAAGAACTGGTTTTTTAAAATTGCCGCACTTTTATTCACCTTGTGTCTGATCTGTTTCATCTATTTAAGCCCTCCTACTACGCCTAATTATAGTATCGCTACTATCTAGACATCCCTGCCATATGGTCATTCACTCTAAATCAAATTGTAGTAATATACGAGCTTAATACTCTATTTAAACTATATACGTGAATTTTGGCTATTAATAGTAAGATCATAGAAGTGCGACCTGCGTTCTAGTACTAAATCTGATTATGTCCATAAATGATCATCAATTCTTTGGACGCAAAGCACGAACTAGAGAACAGAAACTACGCTTTATCGAGTATATATTACTCTAGTATACACGGTGACTGTTTTCTACTGTTTTCAGTTGGTAGAGTCTTAAATATAAAGAATAATACTATATCTATATATCCCAATGCGTGTGTCCGTCATTGCGGATAATTTTTTCTATTATTTCGGACCGTGGCTTACTCGTCTGGCCGAATTGTAGGTTATGTAAGGGGTCTGGATTTCAAACTACAAGATATAATGTAAGATATAGTACAATAGGTAGTACATTGGTAGTACATTGGTAGTACGGTAAATTTAAATAGATGAGCTTATGTAGACTAGGCGGAAAATTTGATCCTGAAATCAGGCCACGAAACCATGATCGCAAATTACGGTGATAGCCATTCAGGTTTGTTGTTACGCCTCAAACTTGCCATACAAAAAACACTCGAGTAGTGCGCAATATGTACATTGTTATTGTTTACGAACCATGGGTTGAAAATTGGCAATTGGCGCCAATGATGGAAGTGTAGATTTAAGTATCTTCCCCCACTGCTGCGGAAGGAAAAATACTGTGCGGATGAACGATTGGACAGTAGCAATGCAAGAGAAGACTCAAAAGAACATTGTGGTAAGGTTACGAGACAGAGCGAACACTAGGTGGTTATTGGTTTATGCATTAGTCTTTATATAGTTTTCGGAGGGTGTGGAGGTCCTCCCTAGAGATTTTCCTTTCAAATGTGGCGTTAACGGCCATGAGTTCCTGGTACTTGATTTTGATTTTGGATGGCTTGGTGGTGGAAAGGTTCTTCATGACGAAATAAATGTCGTTACACGATTGGGACTCAAGCAAGCATTTTTCGAATATCTTGAACAACGAGAGCGATAAGGTGATGAGGGTGGTTTCAACGTTGGTCACCAAGAAGTTGTCAAAGAGCTTAAACCAGATTTCCAACGGAAAACCGTCGGTGAACAACAGGAGCCACCAGTTCAAGGTGATGTATTCGATTTGGAGGTTCAACGTCGAGAAATGGGCATTCAATTTGGGCAATAGACGAGGGAAATAGTGGAGACGCATGATTTTCTGGTCCACTCGAATAACAGGAAGCGAATGTATGCTGAAAAAATTATACCCATTGTATTTGGGCAATATATCCTCCACAAAAGCCGTAAATATCCAGAAAATGTCCTCTTCTGTTAGTTTATTTTCTCCAAGCAAGAGGTTTCCAACAATCTTATTCATGCCCTGGCAGTATCCAATATCGGAGTTGTAGGCGACGAATGCGTAGAGAACATTTTGTAATTTGTAAAAGTTGGGCCCGGGTTGGCTGTTGACCAAGTCATTAAAATAGATATTTGAAGGTAGGGTCCTATGCAAGTCAAGATCGATCTGATGGATATTGGACTTGACGGCGTCGTTGGTTGTAGTTTTCGCCCCCTTGATGAGGTTGTGCAACTCTCCAGGAACCCGAAGGTTTTTCGCACCCGACAATTCGAGCCAGAGATTACATCTATATTTGAGGGGAATACCATTCTCACTTACCAATTTACGGAGGGTTTTAAGGCTTCCTATTTCATGAGGAGTGTTGGAGTTTGATCCAAATTTCGATTGTGATTTCTCGAGTTTGATGAGATTGAGTCCTTGGGCACCAAATATTTCATGCCCTGAGATGGCTGCATGGTAATTAATGTCCTGAGGTTGCACATTAACATCTGCATATTTGTAGTATTCCTTAATCAGATCTTTGATAAATTGATCCCATGAAAATTCAAACTGCTTATTCTTTGCATCATGTAACTGACCTATTTCTTTTAATTTCTCTATACTAGGTTTAACCAGTCGAACATTGGTAGTCCCGTTAACTTCTAAAGAATTTGTCTCGGTTATGCTAAATCTGGGTTTATTATGCATAATTCTTTCGTCTGACAGCGATGCATGCTTCTTGTCCACCGGACTTTCCAACGTACTTTTATCGGCAAATTCATTCATGTCATTAAAAAACCCATATTTATCAATGCTGGCATTAATGGAAATATCTGGAGTCTCTGGAATAGTACTTTTATTTATTGTGTCCAACTCTACTGGTATCCTTGTATCTGATGTATTTTCAGAGGCTGGAAGCGATGACAGTGACGATTCCAAATATGAATAGCTCAATTTGAAATCTCTCGCTTTCATTTTTTCTTTATCCAACGGCAAGCTTGAAGACGAATGACGCTTGTATGGCTCTTTGAACCAGTCACTAATCCATCCGGCTGGTCTAGTTGGCCTTGTAGAAACCGGTCCACCTTTATCGAAACCTTCATCTTCAATTATTTCACTTTGACTAGAATGGTGTGGCGTTTCGTTCTTCAAATCTTCATTTATGGCATGTTCAATAAGACCCAGTAGGACGTTGTCAACATTCTCATCTACTTTCAACGAATTTAGTTTCTGATCTATTTCCAAGCTACTCAAATTGCCGTACTCATTGCACATCTTTAGTAATTCTTGTTCCCTTTGAAACTTTTCCTTTCGAAGTAGTATTAATTCCAGTTCCTTCAATGCCAAGTCATACGAAAGCTGTTTAATTAATGACACCGGTTGGCCATTAAACTTCAAATTTATTAGTTTATTAATTTGGCTATCATTTAGCTGGTGTAAGTTTCCACCAAGAGAATTTATGACCGGTGTTGGTATATTATTCGAACCAAATAAATCCGTATTCATTGAAGTACTAGATCCTTCTTCTGGAAATAGCAGCTGCTTCATATTAACATGTTGTATGATCTAAGGAAAATACGTCTTATGATTGAGCTTTAAACTTAACGTACGAAGAGATACGCGATAAGATTGTTTTTTTCTACGTCAACGCAGACCGGAATTGAACCTGCGATCTTTTCCAATTCGCCCGTTCAAGCTGAAGAACACTTTATTACAATGAATTACAGCTAATAGCCCACGACTGCCACCAGCTTGTAGACAAGAGTAGTAGTCAGAGTCTTCTACAATATATTGCAAAAAAAAATGGTTAAATCTCTTTGTAAAGCGTGTCATCTTTATGCAAGGACAATGCTAATCTTCTCTGTATTGTTAAAATTGACAAATGTACTATCCAGAAGGATAGTACGAACAAAAGAGATTTTTCGCGCTATATATACTGTAGATCTTTGTGCACTACTAAGGTATTTCTTCTGTTTCTATGCTTAATACATTTGAATGGTATATGTTGATATTCAAATATCAGCATATGAGCATATTGAAGCAATGTCAGTATCCAATTGCTAAAGTTAAATTTCAATAGTCCATTAGTGTGATTTACTTTTAAATTTGCTTAAGCTAACCTATAAGTGAATGTAAAAAGGGTTTGGATGGATCTGGATACCTGTTAGTATGCTGCAGTTACACTGGTGTAATTCCAAGTTGCTGTGCCTATATAATGCAGTATAGTGCTATGTAATATGTAAATGTGTACTTGTACGTTTAACTATCTCGAATATGATCCGTGCACGAACTCCACTAAATTGTATGTTCATCTGTGAACCAAAGATCAGTATGAATAATATATTCAAACTAAGTGTCGAACAGATCAATTATATCGGTTAAATTTGCATAAACAGGATATTTTGAGATCACAAGAGAACTTCTATTTAATATAGATATTTTCAGTATATTTGAGTAAGATACGTATAGTTGGATCAGTGGCAATTTTATAAAATGGCAAGTAATTTATTCTTAAAGATCGTATTTCAAGCAATTGTACTAACATTCACAGATTATTCGATTTAGAACCAAAGATGGCATGTTCAGAATCAATGCTGATGCAGGCAGCGACTTTTTGTTGGTATTAGAAGAATTAGTGGGCAAACTCAGCACGAATGATATACAATCGATCTACATTAGTGATAAGCCCAATTCGAGAGGAGAACAGGCAAATAGCTTATGTGGTAGAAGCGTAAATGATTTGGGTTTCAAAAACGGTGATTTGCTATTTGTGACTTACGAATCAACTGCTGAAGCTCCAAAGACAGAGTCTTCGGCTCCCTTGGCCACAGCTAAAACCGCCAGTGGTGCAAATGTGTCAATTAATATGAATGACATTTCGATTCCAATAAATTCGGGCCCTGGGCCTCTCAAAGTGGATCAGTTACCCGTTGATGATTTGCTTGATAAAGAAGATGGTATGATCAAGAGATCAAGGTCGGATTTATGTCGTCATGGGGAAAAAGGGATGTGTGAATACTGCTCTCCGTTGCCACCATGGGATAAAGAGTATAAGAAAGAGAAAGGATTTAAGCATATGTCATATCATGCACATCTAAATGAAATCAATGAGCTGAAAAATAATAGAAATAATGCTACGTCATATATGGCACCTTTGGAGGAGCCAAACTATAATATCAACTTAAATTGTCCTAGTGGATCGCATGCACCATATCCTAAGGGTATTTGTTCGAAATGTCAGCCGCCTGTGATCACATTGCAGCAGCAACAATTCCGTATGGTCGATCATGTTGAGTATGCAGACTCAACCATCTTGAATAAATTCATTGATTCGTGGAGAACGACCGGTGTGCAGCGATTTGGTATTTTGTATGGAAGATACGAACAGTTTGATAAGGTTCCGTTAGGAATTAAAGCGGTGGTAGAGGCCATATACGAACCACCACAATCGGGAGAGTTGGATGGATTAACATTACTCCCGTGGGAAAACGAACTGCAGGTAGATGAAATAGCTGCCTCACTTGGTCTCTACAAAGTAGGTATGACTTTTACCGACTTGACCGACTCGGGTGCCAAAAACGGGACCGTATTATGCAAGAGACACAAAAATAGCTACTTTTTGTCATGTTTGGAGGTCATCATGGCTGCCAAATACCAGGTATCCAACCCAAATATCACTAAGCACTCTAACTCAGGTAAATTCTCCTCTAAATTCGTGACATGCGTTATATCGGGTGGTATGAATGGCGAAATCGAGCCAAGATCATACCAGGTGTCCAACAGTGCCGAGGCCCTAGTTAAGGCCGACATCATCACAGGGTCCACGCAGCCATCCATGCTCTACATCAACGACAGCGAGGGCAAGAGATACGTTCCCGATGTATTCTACCTGAAGATCAACGAATATGGTCTCGAGGTCAAAACAAATGCCAAGCCCGCATTTCCCGTTGAGTTTTTATTAGTGTCACTTCTGGACTCGTTCCCGTTGGACCCTTCTCCAATGTTCAAAGAAAATTTCCCAATCGAGAACAGAGACTTCATGGGCGACCTCCAGGACTTAAAATCCGCCTACAACTACTTGAATGCCGATCCTGGTGATGGTTCCCAACTCTTCGATTTCCATTTCCTCACCTATATCGCTAAAACTGGAATATTATCTCATGATGAATTGAAATTGGTATTATCCTACGTCAGACATAGAGACCAAACGGACTATCTACAATTGGTTGAAAGTCCTGGTTGGATGACTTTCATAACTATCCTAGAGCAAAGCGTATAAGGTGCACATTTTTATGTTGTTGGTGCACAACAACGACTACATGCCGTATTGCTTTTAAGTAATGAATCATACTTTTGTCATGAACCTTGGCATACCGAACAAAATTGAAAAATTCGATTACACTAGTAACTTCTCGAAGATTCGAATTCGATGGGCGTTACCCGCACGACCTCCGATTTTTTTTTTTTTTTTGGCCGAAATTTTCATATAAAGAAAATTTGATTGCCGTCAATAAAGGATTTATCTGTAGTAAAGAATAAGTTTATTGAGACTTTATTATTAAATAGAATACATTATATACTAATAATATATTGAAAGATGTCTACTCCATTTGGTGTTGATTTAGGTAACGAGAATACCGTTATCGCCTGTGCAAGAAACAGAGGTATTGACATTATAGTCAATGAGGTTTCTAACCGTACTACTCCATCATTGATTGGATTTGGTATGAAAAACAGATTTATTGGTGAATCTGCTAAGAATCAACAAGCCTCTAACTTGAAGAATACCGTTGATAATTTGAAGAGAATTCTCGGTTTAAACTACAATGATCCAGATTTTGAAATTGAAAAGAAATACTTCAGCTGTCCATTAGTCGAGAACAAAGATGGTGGAATTTCGGCCAAGATCAGATTTTTAGGTGAACAACAAGAATTCACTACCACGCAATTATCTGCTATGTACATTAACAAGATAAAGGATATCACCTTGAAGGAAACTAAGGGTAATATTGTCGACATTTGTCTTTCGGTTCCAGTCTGGTACACCGAAAAGCAACGTCGTGCTGCTTCGGATGCTTGTAGAATTGCTGGTTTAAACCCGGTCAGAATTGTTAACGAAACCACTGCAGCTGCTGTCGGTTACGGTGTTTTCAAGGCCAACGACTTGCCAGAAGACGAACCAAAGAAGGTTGCTTTTGTTGACATTGGTCACTCATCCCTCCAAGTTGCCATTGCTGCTGTCAAGAAGGGTGAATTAAAGATCTTAGGTTCTGGTTACGATAAGCACTTTGGTGGTAGAGATTTCGACCACGCTATTGCCAGCCACTTTGCTGATGAATTCAAGGGTAAATACAAGATTGATGTCAGAGAAAACCCAAAGGCTTACTACAGAGTTTTAACCGCATCTGAAAAATTGAAGAAGGTTTTGTCTGCTAATACCCAAGCTCCTTTTAACATTGAATCGGTTATGAATGACGTTGATGTTTCATCATCTTTAACCCGTGAAGAGTTAGAAGTATTCGTCAAGCCATTATTAGAAAGAGTTCACATTCCAATTGAAACCGCATTGAAAGATGCTGGTTTAACCAACGATGATATTGACTCTATTGAAGTTGTTGGTGGTTGTACTAGAGTTCCATCCTTAAAGGCTAAATTGGCTGAAATTTTCGGTAAGCCATTATCATTCACCTTAAATCAAGATGAAGCTATTGTCAGAGGTAATGCTTTTATCTGTGCTACTCACTCCCCAACTTTAAGAGTCAGACCATTCAAATTCGAAGACTTCAACCCTTACTCAGTTTCTTACTTCTGGGACAAGGAAGATGAAGATGAAGACAACTTGGAAGTTTTCCCAAGAGGTGGTCTTTTCCCATCTACTAAAATCATTACCTTATACAGAAAGGGTGATTTCGGTGTTGAAGCTAGATACACTAACAAGGAAGAATTACCAGCTGGTACTGAACCTCTTATTGCTAAATGGCAATTGAAGGGTGTTGTCCCATCTGATGGTGAAAGCTCTATTGCTTGTAAATTGAAGTTGAGAAACGATCCATCCGGCTTCTACACCATCGAATCTGCACACACTGTTGAAGAAAAATTAGTCAAGGAATTGATCGAAAAGGAACCAAAGGAAGGTGAAGAAGAAGATGAAGAAGCTGAACCAGAATACCGTGAAGTCAAGAAATTGGTCAAGAAGAACGACTTGGAAATTGTTTGTTTCTCGTCCGCCTTACCAGAAGAAGCCAGACAAGCCTGTTACGAAAAGGAACACTCCTTGATCATGGAAGATAAGTTGGTTGCTGACACTGAAGACAGAAAGAATGCCTTAGAAGAATACATCTATGAATTAAGAGGCAAATTGGATGAACAATACAAAGACTTCGCCAGTGATGAAGAAAAGGAAAAATTATCCGGTATGTTGATGAAGGCTGAAGACTGGTTGTACGAAGACGGTTTCGATTCAAGCAAGGCCAAATACATCGCTAAATACGAAGAATTAGCTTCTATTGGTAACGTCATCAGAGGCCGTTACTTAGCTAAGGAAGAAGAAAAAAAACAAGCTGTTAGACAAAAGCACGAGCAAGCTCAAGCTTCTGCCATGGCTGAAAAGTTAGCTGCTGCTAGACAAGCATCTAAGGACACCGAAAAGAAGAATGAAGATGGTGACGTTGAAATGGATAATTAGATTTATTTATAATTTGGCAATGAATACTACTACAAAAATATAAATATAAAATATCAAGCCTATGAACAAAAATAACTTATTAATATATACATCTTTTTATTATTGTTTACACTCTTCATCTCTCAATTTTAACGAATAAACTAATATTGATATATTATTATAGTGACGTTTTTGAAACTGTAGCCATAATAGACAATGACACAAAAAATTTATCTCGGAAAATTTAATAAACCACTCTCAAACAGTGTAATACAACATCAATATTAACAATAAAACTAATTATAAAGCTAGTTAAGGTTCCATTATTAAGAAAGCTATAATAGGTGAAACATTGCGATTTCCAATTCCGATCATTTATTGTACTAATTATAATTATTTTTATTTTCACTGTATTATAAACGCATCCATATTTAACTGCAATATAAACAAGTTCAAATAACAAATCCCATCACGAAAACCAGTATACTATTTCATTTAATTTTAAAATAGATCGAATTTAATGACTAACTATCCTGGTTCCCACAAATCGAACTTATCCATTGCTATTCAAAAAGCAGATTCTACTACAGGTAATCAGACTAATAACGATAATAATAACAATAATAATAACCATGATATCAGCAATGAAAACTTGCAGCCAGGTTCACTACTCCCTAACTTAATCCAACATAGTGGTCCCACGAGTGCTACTACTTCGCCTGTTGTTAAATCATTCAAGCCGGAATTATCGCCCTTGAAAACTGACTTTTTGGAGGCTAGTGAAAACGAAAACTGGGGCAAACGTAAGCATGGCGAGAATCACGACGATAAACACGATGATGAAGAAGAGGATGAAGATGAAGATGATGAGCCTGTTCACCCTGAAAATGAGGAAGATCTGAAGGATTACGTCCCGGGAGGTTATCATACTTGTTACATTGGAGAGAATTATAAAAGCAATAAGTACACCTTAGTCCGTAAATTGGGATGGGGCCATTTCTCTACTGTGTGGCTTGCTAAGGATAATGATAAGCATTGTCATGTGGCTATGAAGATTGTCAGGAGTGCAAAACACTACACTGAAACTGCCATAGATGAAATTAAATTATTAGATAAGATCACTACTTCTGATATCCATCATCCAGGTCATGAGCATGCGATTCAATTGTTGGATACTTTCACACACAAAGGACCTAATGGAGTTCACGTTGTTATGGTATTCGAGGTTCTAGGAGAAAACTTATTAGGCTTGATTAGACGTTATAAACACCGTGGAATACCTGTTGTTTTTGTCAAACAAATAGCTAAGCAATTGTTGTCAGCTTTGGATTTCTTGCATCGAAAATGTGGTGTTATTCATACTGATTTGAAGCCTGAGAATGTTCTTATAGAGATTGGTGATGTTGAACAAATTGTTAAAATGGTTGAAGTTGAAACAAATGAAGCAAAGAAACAAAAGAAGTTACAAAAATCAAAGTCTAAGTCGGAAAATAGCTTAAATGCTACTCCTGATACATCATTTCAAGAGAATGCACAACCTCAACCGTCAACTAGTACAGCCGCTTCTTCAAAGCCTACAACCAATTCACCTTCTTTAGGAAGAAACGGTAGAAGATCAAGAAGACAAACTTTGATCACTGGATCTCAGCCTTTACCATCCCCTTTGAGTACGTTCAATAAATCTTTCTCGAATGCTTATGCGCGTTCTAGTTCAACTGCCAACACGCCACTGAAAGCATTTTTCGAAGGTGCTCAACCTACTTTAATTAATCAAGCATCATCATCTGAAGTTGCTATGGCATCTTCAAATACTAATATCCCCAATTATGAAAAGCAAGACACGTTGAATAGTTCATTATCATCTATGTCAATTTCAAATGCTGGGCGTAGTAACACAACAACCGATCCATTACAGATTCCATCAGTCTTTGATTCAAGTATGCAGCAATCTGAAAGTAATGAAAATTCATTTGTCATCAACGAAGATGAACTTATTTCAGTAAAAATTGCAGATTTAGGTAATGCATGTTGGACTAGCCATCATTTCACTGATGAAATTCAGACAAGACAGTACCGCTCTCCTGAAGTATTATTAGGTTATCATTGGGGTTCGCTGGCTGATTTATGGTCATTTGCATGTCTCATTTTTGAATTGTTAACAGGTGATTATTTATTTGATCCAAGAGACGGAAAAACGTATACTAAAGATGATGATCACATTGCACAAATAATCGAACTTGTTGGACCATTTCCAAGAGCCATGTTAAAAGAAGGCTATTACACTAGGGATTTCTTTAACTCGAGAGGGGAACTCCATAGAATTCAAAAATTAAAACCATGGGGTTTAAAGGACGTCCTTATGGAAAAATATAAGTTTTCACTAGCTGATGCAGTTGAAATTGCTGACTTCTTGCTGCCCATGTTGACATTGCAACCCGAATTGAGAGCTGATGCTGGTGGAATGGTCAACCATTCCTGGTTAAGTGATGCTCTAGGATTAGAGAATGTGGTCTTAGAAAGACCTGTTGGTGGTTCTGGTGAGGATATTCCTGGCTGGTCAAAGGAAGTTCTGAACCTGAATATAGGAGGGAAATATTATCATCATAGTCGCGATTAATCACCTAAGCGCTAACAGAATACTATTATATAGTTTTGTCATTCTTTCTTGCATAGATTACTTGCGATAATGAAGTTTTATTCAGTAATTGTCTAGATCTGTATGTATAATAAACATATAAAGAAGCTTAATAATGTACATTGGAAAATAATAATTTAAAATATTCCGAAATAATGATATATACGAACACAAACTATTGACCGTGTGACTCAATACCTAAATTACTCTTCCTCATTAAGCCATTTAGACATAAATGGGCCATCCAAATGGTATCCCAATTTTGCATAATAGTTTCTGACACCAACACCAGAAATGACACTTATTTTTTCTGATCCATGTTCCTCTCTTGCAATTCTGGCAGCTTCTTCCATCAACAATGTCCCGAAACCTTGATGTTGGAACTTCCTTGGATCTCTAGAGTGTAATGGTACAACTGAACCATAAACGTGCAATTCTCTAACAATAGAAGTTTGTTGACCTGTGAACTCTTTACGATAAGTGAATTTCTTCGATGCTTTACGCAACCTCAATAAACCAATTAAAATATCCTTCTTAGGATCTTCATAAGACAAGAATGTTTCCCATCCACCATTAGCATAATAATCTCTTCTGATTAATTCAACTTGATCTGGGGCAACTTTATGATGGACTTCTTGAATACCAACCTCTCTTGTACGTACATCCCTACATGTTGTACCGAAATCCTTCATTCTGGCCAATGCCAACTCTCTCAAATTACCGTTTTCGACACCTGAAGTGACTAATGGCATAGGAATATCTCTTTGAACACGGTAAATACGTGTCCAAGGTGGAACTAATGCTAAAATACGTGCAACGAGATCGATTAATGCGTTGGCGTTATACGACTTGTATAACCCCTTTTTCCATAATTCATATAAACCGGTACCTCTGATAACTAAGGTTGGATATAATTTTAACCCATCAGTTCTGAAATCAGGGTTTTCGAAGTATTCCTTGAATTGCTCTAAATCTCTTTCCATACCAACATTTGGAAGATCCGGCATCATATGACTGACTACCTTGTAACCAGCATCCTTGGCGACTGCAAATGTTTCACACACAGACTTTACTGTGTGACCTCTATTAGTATCTCTTGCAACATCTTCATAAACCGACTGAACACCAACTTCAAGTCTTGTACATCCATATTTCAACATGTCACTCAAGTGGGTTTCCGTACAATAATCTGGACGGGTTTCAATCGTTATACCAACACATTTGGTCTGGGACTGTTGGGAAAATTTAATTGCTTCATCAATATCACGACCATTAAAACCAGTTAAGGCATTATGTAATTGTGTAATAAAATTCTCTCTGTATTCAACTGGCAACGACATGAACGTACCACCCATAATAATGTATTCCACTTTGTCGATCGAATGTCCCAATTGTCTCAACTGTTCAACTCTACCCCTCGCTTGTTCGTACGGGTCGTATCTTGCTCTAATGGCTCTCATCGACGTAGGTTCATACCCGGTATACGATTGCGTAGAATATTCAAAATCTGAATCTGGCCCACCAGGACAGTATACACAGATATTACCAGTGTATGCAATATGAGGGCATCTATGAGGTTTACACATAACAGCAACAACTGCAATACCCGATGCAGTTCTAACTGGCTTTGCCTTTAACTTGGGTATCAAATACTTTTTATATTGATCCGGAATAGACGATATAATATCTGTCAATCTAGGCTGTTGTTTTAATTTATATTTCTTAGCATATCTTATAATCAATCCATTTAAGTTTATATCCTTTGAATTCTTTAACGATGCAACCAATTCCAACGAAATATCTCCACAACATTGAAGAAACCTTTCCTTTTCTGGCGCTAATTTTTGTTTCCCAGTCTTTTGTTTCTGAACAGATGGCATAGCTCTACACTAGATATACTCAGCAATAATCCGTCTAACTATTTTTTGACTCAATAGAACCAATGATTAGTATGATTAAAGAAATCTCATCTCTAAATTTTTTGTACCCAAATGTCATTGCTTATGTAATCCGTTAATTTTTCAGAAAGTATTTTCAATATGGAGGTTCTAATTTGACGAACAGAGTACCAATATACAATCAATAGGTCTGTATTTGTAGACATGATAACATCTAGGGTCATAAGAACATTACCTGGTAATGCGAGGTTGTTTGCTCCGGTCTTGGGGTTACAATCTTCGTTGATAAATAGGGCATACTCGACTAAAGTCGAAAAAAAGAAAAAGACCCAACAGGCAGATATATCCCAGATTCCAATCAAGAGTATTGGCGTTATTGCAGATTTTTATGTCCCTCCTAAATACTTGAAGAGTCCCGTTACTTCGTGGCACAAGCTATTGTTCAGAAGAATGGGGTTATTCGCTATCAATACTTACAGTATTGTGAAATTCAAGAGGGAAACTGGTTTAAAACTTCACTTTAACCAGTGGAAAGACACGGCTGTGGAACAGCTTGTGAAGACGAATAAGATTTTTGCTGCTTCATGTTCTATTTCCAATGCAAAGAGAGAAAGCTATCTCAAGAGTCAGTTAGAAGGAGTCACTGGGGCCGAGGTCACCAAGAGTTTAATTAAAAGGGCCAGTACATTTCCACCAAATTCGAAATTGGAGTGGGAACTCTTAAAGATCGAGTCGAACCCAAAGATTATTTCTTTTAATGCGTTACCAGATGCGGACAACATTACTGCGTTGGTTCAGTTTGTTATTCAAGTTAAAACGAAGCAGAAGTTTACTATTACCACAATTCATAGTAAGCCACAGGTGACGGAGAGCTCAGTTGAAAATTTTTTGGCTTACACTTTAAATCCCTTCACTAATGAGATAGCTCTTGTCGGGTCATTATTTGAATCTGATCATCTTAGAGGTGTGCAACCTGAGATTAACTTTACCAATTCTCAAGTCATGGCTAGTTTCCAAGTTAGCTGTGCTGATATCTTCAGAGCTGCTCCAAAAAAGCAAATCGAAGCTAAGAAGAATTAACCTTTGTATATAGCTTTGTAAAAGTTGTCCATTTGAATGTATATATCGTAAACTATCAAGCATATACATATTTAATATAAAAAATATGTCAATCAAGAACAATTAAGTCAAAAAAAAAAATATAAAAGTAATGTATGTGAACCAATGACAGACTAGTCATGGAGTCCTGTGACATATACATCCACTAAAAAAGAAGTAAAAGCAGTTCTTTTTAAAGAATTCCCAAAGTTTCAATTCCCCAAATAAAATAAGATCGGATCAACAAAGAAGCAGGCCGATCAATCCATCAAAAATACATCATCTTGAGCTGAATTTTTCTCCATTTTGTCCTTCGAATCATCCTTCGATTCAGTATTATCGTCCTTCTTTTCATCATTTTCATTCGTAGTTGAACTTAATGTAGAGTTCAAATTGGGTCTGACTAACAAAGTACCGGACTGAGATCTAGAATCACGTCTTTGCATCTCTTGTGGTGTTAAAATTAGATCGCTTAACGACCCTGGAACATAATCTTCGAAATAACCACTATCATTATACATTTCTTCGTCTTCATCTTCGTCATCAATAACCGCAGAGTCGTAGTTGTGGAAACATGCTGGCGATGAAAATGATGAACGAGATGCAAGTCTCGTTGAGAATCGATTTGTAGTTTTATCTGAAAATGGAGTATCAACCGGAGATTGTTCCACTCCTGTAGATGTGTTGGAAGAATTATGGAAAGGTGGTATAATGTGATTTGGAGGAGATATATTGCTTGAGTTTGATCTAAAGAACGCTGAAGTTTGGCTACCAGATTTCACTGCATGATTGTTGTTCGTAGTAATAGTATTACCATTAGTATACGAATTTGGTAACCCGGAAAGACTAGAATTATATGAGGGATTTCTGGTTAACCCTTGGGTATATGACCCTGGTTGTGATGGAAATTTATGGCCCACATTAAGAAAATGTGCAACATTGTTATTTGGAGAAACCATATTATTAGTTTGGTGTCCAATGTGCTCCATCGATTCAGCATTTATATCTATTGGCTGCGAAGTGTAATGATTAAAACTCCCGTTATTCATATTGTTCGACGAACGACGAAGATAACCATTTCCATTAGCAACATTCGTATTTATAGGCTGCGACATCCGCAAGCTCTTGGAGTTCACCCGCGTACCGTCAGGTAAGAAATGTGCTAAAGCACATTTGAGTCCAAACTTGCAATTTCCCTTCTGGAAATACTTGCAAGGTAATTTCTCAGCTGCCAAACTCCCATCGAAGTTATGGGAAAAAGGACATGAGCTTCCAGCCTGGCAGATCCCTTGTCTATAGAACTTACATGGAACATGACTCAAGTTCTTGTTGTTGTTGGAAGAGTTACCGTTTCCATTATTAGTTGGAACTGTACCAGGTGGGCCCGTATTGGGTGGAAGCTGCGACGAAATAGCCGTGAAATCAAAAGTATTCATACCAGGTTCGATATTCAATATTATTGGTAATTCTCGGAGCACTGTGAGGGATTTTGGATTATCCACTAGTATAAAGCGTCAGAATTAGTATTAGAATTGTATTATCAATAATTAATACTCGGATAACTAATTATGAGATTCAAGTTAAGGTTCACAGAAAGATAATATTTTATTTAAGAGACCGTATTAGTATCTTTTTTAAGTATATACGTCAATAGTCAATCCTCTAAGTAGCTTTTAATATAACTTTTAGGTATGAGTCAACAGTATTGGAATATCCCATTATGTCCTTATGTCCTTATCTAATCAGACCGATTGATAAAAAGATAACCGGAAAACGGTCAATCACGAGACTTCATACCACAACCACCACCACAACACCATAGTAAGACTTAGAATTATAATATGTATATTAGTAGTAAATAGTAATCTAAATGATAATAACCTATTGCACAAATGTATAAAAAGTGAATTTATAAACTAACGAAAGACTGAACGAAACTGATATCAACAAAAATGTGGAAATAAACCATAATAAAAAATGCTTAACGACGGTCATTGGTACCAATACCACGTTTACCTGAGAAAAGATGCTTAGGCAACATAGCAGTAGAATGACGATCACCTTCACCTTGTCTAGCCATTCTGTTTCTTTCTCTTCTTTGGACCTTGGCCAATCTTTCGGCTTGGGATCTCAATGCACCATCATTCAAACCATCGTTAAGACGATCAGATTGTTTAACTGGGGCCTTCTTCTTGTGAATCTTAGCATCAGAAATACCTTGGTTTCTCTTCAAGATATCAACACCTGAAACGTTCTTACGGTCGTCGGCAGGCTTACCAAGACGGTCTCTCAAGGCTGTGGTATCGTGACCAATAGAATACATATGTTCTTCCATTTCGCCAAACGACTTTTTAACCTGGTCTCTAGGCATTATAGCATGGTTCTTCAAGGACTTTCTGTTTCTGGCATCCCTAATCATCTTCTTTTGCTTGTCTCTGATCCAATCAGCCTTTTCTTTAATTTCGTCGACCTCAACATCTTCAACGTCAGAGTCAGAGTCGTAGAAACCTTCGGCTTCTAATTTCTCTTCTTCGTCTTCTAATGCTTGTAACTTAGCAGCAATATCAGGGTCCAAGAAATCGTAAACATTCTTACCGTCCAAGACTTCTGGCATAACATCATTCTTCCATTCCTCATCTTCCAATAAGTATTTATCCTTCAAGTTAATGTTGAACACACCGGCACCACCATTTTCGGCTTCGATGTCTCTGGCTAACTTTCTACGGCTTGGATCTTCAGCGTCATATTTCTTTAATTCCTTAACTGCATCAGGAATGTGAGCAGCCCTATCCAAATCATCTCTGGCTTGAGGTCTAGCAACATGAATCTTGTTCAAAACGTTATTGACACGAGCAGTACCCTTCAATTTTTGTTCAATTCTAGCAGTCAATAATTTTTCACAAGCTTGATTACGAACTTGCATAACGTTATCTTCTTCGTGACATGAAGCATGCATGACTTCCACGCCTGGGACGGTAGTAAGAGACTTCAATAATTCTTGTTGTTCTTGTTCTAAATCTTCAACTCTAATGATATCAGTCTTATTCATAACAACCATAACTGACTTGTTAGCAAATAACGGCTTAATAGAGTGGAATAACTTGACTTGGGCCTCGATAGAGAAACCACACTGTTCGGATAAATCCATGAAGTATAAGACACATGATCTCAAATGAGCAATAGCATAAATCGATTGCATTTCAATATTATTCATATCCTCAGTTGGTCTATCTAAAATACCTGGGGTATCGATAGCTTGAAATCTCAAATACTTGTAATCAAAATGACCAACATATAAGGACTTGGTTGTGAAGGCATATGGTTGAACCTCAACATCGGCTTTGGTGATACACTTTAAGAACGATGACTTACCAACATTAGGGTAACCACAGATCAATAATGTTCTGGTGTTAGGATCAATACTTGGTAAACGACCCAAATGTTGTCTAACTTGTTCAAGATATACAAATGGATCTTTCAATTTCTTGACAATAGTTGCCATTCTACCTAATGCAGCTCTCTTTAATTGCTTACATTGGTATAAAGATTGACCGAACTTCAACAATCTAACATAATCTCTAGAAACTTGTTCAATCAAAGTCTTTGCTCTTGAAACTGCTGCTAACGAAACCTTATAATGATTCTTTTCATATAATGTATCCATAAGATCACGGTGGAATGGATGAACGTCATTAATGTTTGGGAACCCACCTATAAGATCGGTGAACTTTTCAGCAAACCCATCTGCTGTGAATCTAACCTTTCTCATGTAAAATGCCCTAATACGAGTGATTTTAAATCCTGGTCTTATAACAGTTGGTGTCTTTCTTTGAGTTCTGTTAAGAACTATGTCCAACATGTCATTGGCTGTTGGAACTGTTGGGATATCTTTCCAGGAAAGTTGCATCTTTATTGATTACTACTAGGGTAAGATATTAGGAAAAAATTCAATAAGAATTATCTTATAACTTTTCTAAATGAAAAATTGATTAATCTAAATTATATGAAGAGCTCATCTAATTTTTTTTTTTTTTTTCCTTTGGGATGCGGCTCGATTTTTCATTCTTTGATTTGGTTTACATAAAGCCTATACATTTAACACAACATATAAGCATCTATATCAATATTTAGTCCATGTGTAGTATATATCTGTTTGATCGTTAGACTATTTAAGTATAGGTAGTAAAGAAAAACCGATATGACTATTCATCGTAGTGATATACCAAGTAATTAGGTAAACCGAATACTTCATAACCAAGTCTTTTGGCCATTTTAGCAAACCCTTCGGTTTCAATCAAATGGTAGAATGGGAATGAAGGAAACATAGCACCATCTCTGTGAACGTCAGCTTTAACTAGGACTGCACCGCCTCCAACACCGTCCAAGGCCATTTCAGTGTTTCTATCACCATCAGCTTCGTAGAAATGAGCCATCAACGGTCTATAGGTAGCCATTTCAGCATAACCTTCTACGACAATCTCGTCCTCTTTCAATCCGGCTGCAATTTGTAATCCAGTCTCTGATTCAACCCAATTATTGAAATCGTAGGGTCTGATAGCAGCTTGTTTTGTGTTAGGGTCGGTGAATCGTTGGTAGACGTTGGCAGATACCACTGGCTTATTATGAGAAACTAAATCTTGCAATAAAGTAGGAGGAGTCTCGATAATATCAGCGTCTAGCCAAAGACACCACGACGTGGAAGGAGATATTGTTGTAAACACCAACGAATTTCTTGCCAACGCCATCATTGACCGTCTTTCTTTCTGTACTTTGAGAGCATGGCGTTCCTTTTCCGTCTGTGATTCTAATGACCCCGAATCTTGTCTTAATATGGTAATCTTTTTGAACTTGTCTTTGGAGCTTTGAGTCTTCTTGACATACGATTCTAGTTGTTGCAACGCATTGTCCCCCTCGGCTGACCTTGGTAAGATAAATCCCAACTCAATCAAACTATGTTCGTAGGTTAATTTCACTAAATTGTCCCAGTATTGAGGTAAAAATTTCGACATAGGAGTCAAGATCAACACTTCTTCCCTATTTTCTAATGCATTTGTAGTGGCACTTAACTTGTTTAAATCGTAATGACTAATGTGGTTCTTAGGTAAATTTCTTAAAATAACAGTGTCCCTATTCTTGCCGAACCAACTACGTGATTTCTTGGAATAGCTGTACTTTGATTTGTTCTTGGAATTAAAACCTGTTGATGCAACCGAATGGAAAAAGAAAAAATATATAATCAAAAGAATGGAAATTGGTGCAATCAATGAAATCGGTTTCCTTCGTATGTGACGAAGGATCGGGTTCTTGATATAAACCATATTTGCAGTGATTAAAACTATACTTTATACGTGTTTTGGTGGTTCTGTTTAACTAACTATTTTTCTGGCCACATATTCCATCACGTGGATCAGCTACTACAAAAATTTCAGTGTTACCCGGTTCTATGAATAGTTATAAGCATATAATTAATATAAAAGAATCAATACTAAATACCTAACAGCCAGCTATTTTTCATTAATAACTAGTCAGATTACTTACAGACCTTACCGTCAGCGATTTCCTTGGTTTCACCGTCAACGACAACTGGTTCGTCCCATGCTAACATGTTGTTGACGAACTTTTGGTCTTCTTCGCTTGAGCCATCTAACTTGGTGTAAGAGTAAGATTCCCAATCTGGAGCAACATCGAAGGCTGGAGCGTAGTCTTGACCTCTGATCATGAAGAAACCGGTGATACCGTTGTTGTTGTTTTCACCGTAGACGACCATACAACCGAAAATGTACTTGGTAGAAGCAGATAATCTGTTGAAGAAACCACCGACCAAGTTATTAGACATGAAGGTTAAGGTTAATTCGTCGTTGTACTTGTAGTCAACCTTCCACAAACTCCATTCTTCTGGGTTGTACATGTTCTTCCAGAACCATGGGATGGCGGATTCTCTGGTTTCTTCGTTAGAGTAGAATCTCTTCCATTCGTCAATTGGGGTGGATGGCTTACCTAAAGCTTCTAATGGGTGCTTTGGCTTTGGGGCTGGAGCATCAGAGGATGCAGCGGCTGGGGCAGCGGCAGCAGCTGGAGCGGCTTCCTTCTTTGGTTGTTGAGTTTGCTTCTTTTCCTTCTTTGGAGCAACAAATTCAACTGGGTTTTCTCTGAACTTGTAATCACCAATGACATCATGCAAGATCTTTTGTTGAGTAATAGTCTTGAACCATCTGGTGGTGTTTGGGTGAGCCTTTCTCCATTCGCTACCGAATAAGTAGTCGAAACCTCTGACAATAAGAGCAGCAGAGAAGATATCAGCAAAGGTTAATCTTTCACCAACTAAGTAAGTGTAGTTAGCTAATCTAGCTTCAAAGATACCAATGACCTTTTCAACAAATTCTGAGGATTCATCAACTTGCTTCTTGTTGTATGGAGTAGCACCAGTTAATGGTCTGAAAGTCTTGGCAATGTTTGGCAACAATTCAAAGTTAGTTAAAGATAACCACTTTAAGACTTCAGCGTATTCCTTAGCGTTCTTACCTAATAACTTAGATTCTGGGTCAGCAGAGTTGATCACTATTGTTAGTTAGTATTATGAACCGAATCAAACCGAGTTCATGCAATGCAATCGACTGTAATTATTTTCAGAATAATATTCTCGACATAATGTATTAAGACAGGGATAACTGTATAAATATGAAAAAATCTCTCATCACGTAAACAACTGTTCAATTGCATGCAAAATTATTGGCGAATACATACAGTAAATACAAATGGCAATGACTTCGTGTAATTTGAATCCCTTTGGTCCAACGAAAGCTGGGATCTTGGCTAATGGGAAGTTCTTTTGGTAAGACTCATCTTTGTCACTTAACTTAACATCTAAGTTGAAGTGCTTGACTAAAGCCTTTGGTGGGAGAGAACGAATTTGTTCAGTAACGAATAAAGTACCTGTTGACATTTTGTAATTGAGTTTGTCAGATATAATCTACTTCTTATACAAATTTAGGAATCGATTTATTCAATGGAAGACTGAAAAACTTTTTCTCTCATTGATTAGTCGTGTGTTTGCAAATTAATGTCCCCGGGTAATCCCTAGGAATGCTAATGAAGTTTAGGGAAGATAACAACTGTATTAGACATAACTGTTTCCTACGTTATAATATATATATCGGTACGTCAGCATGTTCGAGTAATTCTATCGAATCATGTAACCTTTGTAAATTTTTGAAAGGTGTGTTTCAATTAAACATGAAGCGCTGCTAAATCCGGAATGTAAATTTAGATAATACATATCAATGAACATTTACTTATGCTCTACTACATGCTACTCTATTAACAGCATATTCTGGATAAAGGTCCAGTGCAAAGCCTTCTCTGAATTTAGTGCAAAAAAAGCTCGTAAATGAGTGGTATACTCATAAAGGAGCTACTTTTTATTATCTATAAGATGCAGAATGACTAAATATACATATAATGGTCCAAATTATGCAACTAAGTATCCTTCATGGTCCATTTAAAGTTTCTTTCCCAGAGAAGTTTAATCTCTGGTTCTATCATTGACTTATTTATAGACTCTAAAATTGATTTGATACTTTCGTTAGAAATGACTTTGGCTGCTTCGTCGTTAGAATTGATCAACTTATTGATATATTCTCTCAAAATCATTATGGCAATGCCTTTGTCGTTTGGAAGAATGATCGAATGGATTGGTTCGACTCTTCTTTTTTTCTTTGATGCTTTGACTGATGATGCAGGTGGTACTTCCGCCTGCTTGTTTGTATCCGAGATTGTTTGTTGTTCTTCGGAAGGCTTCATTATTGGGGGAATTCCTAATGTATTCTCATCTGTAAATATGAAATTATAATCCATTTCAATTAGTGAATTGGTTGGGTTCTTCAATATAAAATCGAGTTTTATAAGATACCAGATAAACTGTCTTAATTTCAATGAATCTGATTTCGTATCTGAAGATCTACTTTGTTGAACTTGCAAATTATAGCTTATTTGGGGATACTCAAACTTTCTGTAAAATGAATTGATATTCATGATTTCAAAATGATTCAAAGTGGTAAATTCTGCTGTTAGTTTGGTATGGTTATAGGAGATTTTATCGGTTACGTCAAATTGACTCCTGTTTTGTTTGAACTGCTTGTTTATAAAAAACTTCAATATAGAAATTGAATGAATAGCACTTACCAAGACTACTGATTTTATTTTTCTAAGTTTTGCATCATTCAAGTCCTGAAGCTTCTCGGTGGAATGGTTGAATATTTTGATCTGGTTGTTAAATATTAATTTACAATTATCGTCAAACTGCCACATTCCATGCTGTAATTTGGTCAACAAGTTCAACAAGATTAACGCTATTGATATTAATAACCGTTCGAACTTAGGAAAGTTTTCGGGAGTCAACAGTATTGGCTTTAAAACAAGCCAATGCTTTAGTTGTTGATCTAGAGTTGCTCTTAAGTCAAGAGAATTGTCTAATGAACAATTGAGTAAACAGTTAATTAATAAAGTATTGCTCTCGTCTGCACCATGCTCAATTTCTGTTAGCTTTAAGCAGTAATTTGGTATAATCAGCTTCCAAATACTTAACTCGTTGAATAAATCCAAAAACCAATAATATTTCTGATGTTGCACGAGGTTGATAAAATCTTTGGCTCCAACATTATAAGAAATATCGCTATCTGATGCAGAATTCTGCAGATCTCGAGGCTCGATATTATGTGGAGAATCTTGTTGAAGCTGGGGTTGTCGCTGTTGATGAATGATTGATTGGTACTGTTCTATCTCGTCTGATAAAGAAGTCGATTCATTCATCAATAAATTGGTTATTTCACTATTTTCAGATATAGAATTATTGTCAAACCGCAACGTCTCAGGAGATGGCTGCTTTGGGGTTGGTTGGTATTGGTGTATCCACAGGTCATCATCTACCTCTTGCACATTTGAATCCGTTGGAGGATTTGTTGACGGCAACGAGCAATGCATATCTTTCTGAAACTGTATATCTGACTCCCTCAAATCGTCCCACGAATGAAATGGTACATATGATTCATATTTCTTCTTACCATTTTCATAGAGTGATGCAATTGTTACTGATTGGTCCAATATCCTATAACTAAGATTGTTCAGGTATGGATTATTTGGAGGTTCGTATATGGTATATTGTGTGAAGTTCAATCTAATACCCCGAAAACATTTCCGTTTAGACTTAATACAATTGTTACACACTGGCTGCTGTTCGTCACATTTCATATGCCGATCACGACAAGTCAAACAACCAGACCTTGTTCTACTTTTCTTTGTCTGGTTTCTTTTCTTGGCCATGTAAGAATAGTCTTATATAAGTAAACAACCTCTCGGCTTTGGCGTTTTATCGTATGGTTTGTTTCTGTTTTATTAAGTCAATGGGCAAGGTTTGTTCTTAGGTTTAAAGGGCATTGAATCTAAATGCTGCAGTCGTCCAGTTTTACGTCGGTATTATCGATGTCAATTATGAGTCTTAAATATAGTAAGACATTAAATGCTAACACTAAGTTTGAAAAATTAATATATGTCCCGACTGATATTACTAGAAAAATGAAAAGTGGACCTTGAAAATTCCCAAAACAATATCTAAGGTTAAATATATAATTACGGATCTGCAGTGGTTAATTCACCCGATTCTGTATTAATAAGTGACTTACGTTCACTCAACAATAAAAATAATCTTAAATGGATAGTCACAAGTGAAAATTAACGACTTCTAGTCTAAACTTGACCTACTAAAAAATATTACCTTCATAGGTAGTTTGAACTACGGTATACAATAAGCAATTATGGAAGTCCTGAGCGCAGTAATTACTAAAGTAACAATAAGAAATTTTACGACCGTTACCCAATCATCCGTCCGTTTCCCTTTCGGAGATAAATTTACGATTTGACTCGACCTGAGCGCCAGTTCAAAACGGTTGTACGAGGTACCTACTCTGTTTCATGCTGTGTTCGACATATTAGAGAGGCTAATTATGCCAATCCTGCTAAACTGCAAGCAACATCAATTTATGTGCCTTTCTGCATATTTACAAAATATACAAATTAGGAAATAACGCTCAACGGTTTTCGATTCAATTATATATAGGACTCGGCTTATTATATTCTTGGAACAACAGCCCCAACTAATGATGCCGTATTTATATATATCAAATAACTATAATAAGTTCTAGCAAGTAGTAGACGAACAGTTACAAATACCATTGTCATAAACTTGACATATAGTATATGTAGATGACCAGTAAAATAAGGCTTACAATAAATAGGAGCGAAAAATTAAATCCGACGGCACTGATCATTATGGGCGTTATGACTGTGATGAGACAATTCGCAGTATAATTTATACAATTGGCTAAACCAATTATATCATTACTATTGCATGATATCCTGGTGACCAAAATTCCCGGTATGGGGCCCCAAGTAGTTGCAAAAGATGCAATAAAAAGGCAGGTAATTAGCACCATGCCTGCTAATGTACCAGGCGTAGATATGTATGCCAAGATCATGTAGATGGTAAGCAATAAACTCATGACGGCCGATCCGATCATGAGAAGAAGTTGTATTCTTCCGAATTTGCCAATAATGATGTTGGACATTAAAGAGCCCACCAAATTAACGACGCTCATGATTATGCTAACTATCGTCGTATTTATGCCTAGTGAGCTGAAAATAATACTTCCATAATAGAAGAAGTAGTTAATTCCGGTTAACTGTTGAAATACCATCAAGACACAGCATTGAATCAATGGTTTATAATATTTTTTGTTCCTGATCCATCCATTCGGAAGGGTATTTATGATCGGCACCTGGTCAATGAAGTGTATTACTTGATCATCGGAAATTTTCACATGAAGCCTCCTCACTACCAGAAATGCTTTATCTAGTTCATTCTTCGAAACGTAATAATGGTGAGATTCCGGAAGAAAAACAGTCAAACAAGATGTCATAAGAACAATCGACAACTGGCATGACAATATTTTCAAATAATCATGTTTCAACACAAGGTTAGCCAAGTTTCCTCCAAGAATTGCCATACAAATAGAAGTCTGGAAAAACGATAAATACATATCTTTTCTTGGAACAATTACTAGCTGATTCAAGTACCTGGGTGCAAGAACGCATAATTCTCCGCAACAAATGCCACAGCTAACTCGTCCTAGAATCATTACCCATACGTTCAATTGAAACCATCCTGATAATATCTGAATAACACTTCCAAGTAAATAGATAAAGTTCCCTGTAAATATGGTACCTTTGAAGCCAATCTTTGAGGTTAATTTGCTTAACCCCAAACACCCAATCAAGCAACCCAAATTAAAGCTCGATATAATAATACCAACCATGAGGGACGAAATGTTAGCCTCGCCTTCCTGCGAAGTACCATATGTCTCTTTGAATGTAGCTGTGCTGATTATGAATCCAATTGTCCCTATATCCCATCCCACAGGAAGTCCACACAATGCTATTATAATGCAAAAAATCGACATATTCAAATAGTTAACTCGAGGTGCCATATTGTCATCCTTGGGAGTTTCTAAATCGTCATTTTTTCTTTCACAACTTTTCTCATTGTCTCCGATAGTATTCATTCTAAGATTAATGATATTCTTTGATGTCTGTCTAGTACAATTGTAACATAACTATTATCATTAGTATGAATGCAATTGTGGTCAACAGCTGCAAAATTAAACAATCACAAAATTGAAAAGCTTGATAAGAAAAATTAAAATGAGAAGAGAGCCCCTTATCTAAGACTTAACTGCTATTAATAATACTCACATTGAATATAGACCTGAAGAGATTTGAATATGTCTTCAAGTGATGGAGAGAATTCTTCGCATGTTTCAAACACAGAATATAACAAAAATGCTAATCCATTTTATCCCAGTTCATACAATTATTCATATTTCGTTAGATTTTCAAACTTACCATTAGATGTAAATGAATCCCATTTGAGGAACTTATTGGACTCAATTATTATGAATAATTTTGATGAAGATAGTCCACAGCCAAATCAATATAAAATTGTACAATTCGATAATAATAATGCTCATAATGATAATCAAAAATGTTTTGCAATTATTGAAATTCTGCATTGGGACTTTGGGGTTAGATTAATCGAAATCATGAATGGTTATGAATGGCTACTGAAGCAATTAGAGGTTAAAATTGTTCCAAATGATACGTATGATAGCCTGAGCTATGCTTCACAGGACAGAAATAATTCCTATTATAATGGCTACTATTCTAACTTTCCGTATACCCCTGTTGCGCCTATGAACTACAACTACATGCCTTCTCCACAGAATTCAGCCCAGATGTATCCAATGCAACAGCAAAACAGTTATCCTAATTCGTATATATCAAGAAGATCGAGTAAATCCATGGAATCTCGGAGGAATTCAAGAAATAGTACTTCTTCGTCCAAGCCGCTACCATCTTTTATAACAAATCTTGTCAATGAAAATGCGAATGACTCTGATGGCAGCAAATCTGATGTTACAAACGATGGCAACCTTCCTACCTCAAGCGAATTCATAGTGGTCAAAAATGACGAAGGGCAGTCCATAAAAGTTAATCCGTGCAGATTATTCATAGGAAACATTCCGTTTTCGTCTACATGGACAACGTTAAAAAATTTCTTAATCCTGAAGTCTCAAGAAATAGAGCCAGAGAATAATATACAAATCTTGCGAGTGGAGATTCCCATGCAACTGATGACATCGCAGTATAATTCAAATACTACACCCAACCCTGGTCTAAACGTCAACCTAAACAAGCTTAATAACTACCAATTCTTGTCTTCGTTTATCTCTGGCAATATTGATAACCCAATTGGGGGACGCATTGATGACTTGAACACCCAACCGTCTAGGGGATTAAGCAGGGGTTTTGCAATAGTAACAACAGGAAATAAAGAATCACTGGATAAATTAATCGAATATTTTGATAATGTTGAATTTGAGAGCCGGTCCTTAACTGTTCGGTATGATAAATTCCCTGATTTTAATAATTATATTTTGCAGCAATTGAATACCGACAATAATAGAGGTAACTTTAAGGAGCCATCCATAAGTAGCCTTGCTTTTGAAAGAAATCTGTTTCAACAAAAGATTTACTATGGCAACACAGGCTACGCATCTATGGTTAACAGCTATTTGCCCTATCCTGTCTACTACAACAACCCGATGTATTACCCTGCCATGAACTACCCTGGTCCCATGCCTAGTCATCCACAATATCCACCGCTGGCTCCAAATCATCATACTCCCCAACCATCAAACTATACTAGTTCCCCCTTGAATGAATATAGACATATTCAACCACAAAACTCCCCCCCTTCAAACGCCTCTCGGCACGACATACCGAGAAACAAAATTAATTCAAATCCACCCAACGAACCCAAGAGCACTAGAACCTCTAGAAAGGGCGACGAGACACCAAAACTAAGTGACGATGAAAAGGCAAGGGAGCTAGTCAACTCCTTCAGATCTTTGGGCTTGTCATCGAACTAATTACCTAGTATGACTGTATATTAACTTTTATGTATTAATTGTAACTTTTATTTTGTAACTATATTTTGTATTTTGTAACTCTTAGTTTTAATTATTCTCTAGTTAATATAATAGTGTTTTGCCTAATGATTTCATGATACGACTAAACTTTCCCTCCCGTAAACATGCTTCCTAATTGTCAGACAATAATAACTAAGCCAATCGCATTTCATATGGGCATATGCACAAAATATTTACATTCTGCCCTGTAATTACTATTTTTACTTTTCAGGATACATATGTTACATCCTTCTAACAATATTATTCATCCCTAATAGATATGTTGCCTTCGTGAAAATGTAGAGCAACTAATTGTAGTCACTTCTAGAAATTTAAGCTGCAAAAGTACCTGGTTCTTTTACATACTCGCCGCAACTAATTACATAAGCGTTAAAGCAGTTTTGAATCGAGAAAAAAAAAGATGTTTGATTACAAAACTGTTTTAGTAAACTTTATTAAGAGAATAAATAGCTAATTGAAGGGGTATATTACAAGATGGTCTCAGAAAATCCTGCTCCAAATCGTAAGGACTCAGAATGGTCAAAAGACGAAATTAATAGGGGACAAAGTACCAATAGCGATTCAAAGTCATCTTCGACCCCTCAAGATCCACCACCGTTCGTCAGAGCAATATCGAATTTGAGATGTCCATCGCCACCACCTATATTAAATAACAGCAATACTAATAATGCACCGAAGAAGCCTGTATCATCGTCGCCAATTCTGGGAAATACTATGTCGATATCTACTCCAAATATTACCCAGCAAAGGGAAACGATTCCGGCGGGAGGTGCAGTTTTGAAGGAGAAGGAAAAAGTAGCTAATCAGAGTGCAGCATCAATAATACCCCTGCAGAGTCATGAACCTTCTTTCAATGTTCCCCTGGTGCGGGAGCCAGGATCGAGTGTCAACTTCAATCATTATATAAGTCCAATTTCATCACCAGCAGGATCCAATGTTACGGGATCCAACAATTCGTTAACTAGTTTGGACTATATATCGAACCCTCCATCGCAAAGTACCCACCACAAAGTTCCGTCGGTTCATGCTCATTTTTATGTCGATGAAACTGTAAAACCGGGAAAAGTAATAAATAGATCACGAAGCAGCTCTGCTAGCGACTACCCTCTGGCTTCGTTACCACCTAATAGCACAAGGAACTCTTCCAAAAAGGAGAAAGGAAATGATCTGAATTTATTTGCACCTCCAAGTATAGACAGTGTGCTTGGACCTAACGAACAAAATAGCAATATAGATCCAAGACTTCCCCAAGATGATGGCAAATTACATGTATTATTAGGTGTATGTGGTGCTTTGTCTACGATTAAAATTAAATTAATAATAAACAAGTTGATCGAGATATATACGCCGGATAAAATATCGATCCAGATAATATTAACTAAATCGAGTGAGAACTTTATTCCTCAAGACATGTTGCATCATTTAGAAAATAATAAAAGGATCCGCGTTTGGAGAGATTCTGATGAATGGAATACTTGGAAAACAAGACTGGATCCTGTTTTGCATATTGAATTACGTCGTTGGGCCGATATCTTGATCGTCTCGCCTTTAACCGCTAACACTTTATCTAAGATTTCATTAGGATTATGTGATAATTTATTAACCAATGTTATACGAGCATGGAATACCTCATTTCCTATCTTGCTAGCTCCGTCTATGGTTAGTGCGTCATATAATGCTGTTACAACTAAGAGACAATTACGATTAATTTCAGAAGAAATGCCATGGATAGAATTCTTGAAGCCTGTGGAGAAAGTTGTGGGAAGTTATGGTGAAATAGGAATGGGTGGTATGATGGATTGGAATGAGATTGTCAATCGAATCGTGTTAAAGTTGGGTGGTTATCCAGATGAAGAAGATAATGAAGCTGAAGATGAAGAGAAGAAAGATGATAACGAAGAAGCAATTATGGATGACGACGATGACGATGATGATGATGATGATGATGACGACGATGAAGATGACGACGACGATGATGATGATGATGACAACAATGGTGATGATAACATTGAGAATAAGAATTCTGTATCTCAAACCGCGGAAAACTTACAATCTTTAATTATTGAAGAGGAAGAATCTATCAACACTTAACTCGTATATAATCTATAGGAAAGTTAATAATTAATAAGTAAATTATTTATTATGATTTTTATGTAATAGCAATCGGTTAAATTGCAAAATGCGAATTGCAATACTTTCAATTACCTTCAAGTCACTTGTTCGATCATTGATATAGAAAGGATGATGAATCCACCGATTAAACGTCGAAAATTGCCTGGTAAAGTCACATCCGACAGGAATATCGACATTCTAAAATTTCCTGATGAAATCATTCTTCAAATCTTCTCATTCCTAACTATCTCAGAATGCTTAATTGTTAGAGAGATTACAACCAGCGATACCATTTTGGCTAAACTAATTGATGCTAGTATTTACGGCAGAGTTATTGTATACAGAAACCAAACCAGTCGTTCGTTTTTAAAAAACCGGCATTACAAGAAACCATACGAAGTGGTCGATCAAGGAAGGCTTTATGGATTAATAACGAATAGAAATTTTATTCATGAACATATAAAGCCTCATAGATTTGTCCTATCTTTTACAGCTAATCCTCATAATCGGAACCTGGAAGAAGAAGAATCTTTTTTAAATGAGTTTGATAATGCATTTCGGCAACATAATGATTATTTCAGACAAGCTACAAAATTCGAGTTATATATGGACCTCGGGAACAAAGATCATGAAATAGGTACAGAGAAGCAAGAGGTTCGATTTCTTCAAAGATTATTGGATTCTGAAGATTTATCTCATAATTTATCGACGCTAAACATAGTGAAAGGGCAAAATTATGTCGATAGGGAAAGGAACGAAATAAGTGATTTATTAAATTCTACGTTAAATAGGTTTAAAAGCTTGGAAACTGTTTTCTTAAGCACAAATAACTTGCAAAATATAAATAGCTTAAGATACCCAGACTGTCTTAGATCGTTGGATTTGATTTATAATATGATAGTACAATTACCTACGGGTAGACTGTGGTTGCCATCAAATTTAAAATACATAAATTTATCGTGCAACGAAATTGATTCGTTAGAAGGAGTTGAATTTCCTGACACGATTGAATACATGGACATTCAACTAAACTCAATTACATCCTTATCAAATATTAAATTTCCCCAGAACTTAAAGGCTTTAATAGCTTGTGGGAATGAAATTATTATTGAAGAAAATATAGTAATAGAATTACCTTCCTGTTTAGAAATACTAAATTTGCTTCAAAATCCTTTCAAAAATGATTTAAGCTCCTTCAACATCCCAGATTCATTACGAAGGATATATTTTGACGCACGTTTAAAAGAGGTTAATTCTATTCATAAAAATAATCATTGTGTTGTTTATTATTGACAAGGTCTATTCTATATATGTAAATAATACAATAGTTTGTCCCTTTATTAATTAATAATACATACTATAGTACAATTTATCATTAAGTTAAACTATTTAGTTGTCGTATTCTTTCGTCTCTCCATGCTTGGTAGTCATCTCCAATAATTGTAGAACTATCGCAAGTCATATTCTTTGATGTCCTTGCATTCATATCCTCGTTTTCTTTATCATCGTCATCGATCGCTATAACCTTAATGGGTGATAAGGCATATTTATTTACCTTCGCATCCCTTTTTTCCCTGTCATCAATATAAGAACTATCAATAAATCCATATTTTTGTATTGGTGTAAAATCGATTTTTTCTGATTTATTGTTAATACCATTATCAATATTCAATGAGGTATTGAATCTTAATGGTGATAATCTAGAAATGTTTGAATGGTTTGTTATGTCATCGTTTTCATAGATTCGAATTGTCTCGTCGTTGTTGAAAGTCAAAGGAGAATTCAATGGTTGTAACCGTGCATCCATAAATTTCGTCATATTTGAATTCGTTCTTGAAGCAGTCCTAATTGGACTTTCGAGACTTGAACTAGATGTTGAGTCACTGTGACTACTTAAGCTCAAATTTATAGCATTTGCAAACTTGCTATTCTGGTGAATTGTTGTAAATGACTTTGGTGGAATCGGTTTAGTATGCTTGTTAATCGGCTTTTTGATTGCTTGTTGATTTCTCAACGGTGATACTTTTAATGGAGATTTTCTTGTGTAAGGTGAAGACCCCCTAGTTCTATTCACAGAAGTTGTAGTTGATCCACCTCTGGCCTGGATTATAGGCGATCTACCTGTTGATTTTAATGGCGAAGACCTAGGATTATTGTTAGTCTTTTTTGGAGATTCCGATGTATTATTACGGAATTTATTCCTTGAGTTTCTATTGGTGCCTTGGTTCAGTTGTTCAGATTCAACAATCAATAGCTTTTCGAAAAAGTCTTCCCCATTTATAGTAAGTGGTTTACTGCCAGAATTTAATTGCTCGTGATTATACTTAATAACATCAGCTTTCAAACTGTCAACCAATTTCGGCATATTCTTGATAATTCTTTTCCTTATCTTTTCTTCATTGAGTAAGATTTTGCACGAGTTCTTACTTAATAGTCTAGAGGAATCTTTAGAAGAATCCTTCAAGAAATTTTGATCCTTGATCAAATCATTCAACTGGGTATACATTTTTAAAATGTGTTCTTTTGATTCATATTCCTTTTTTAATCTGGACAATTCTACTTCGTGTTCATTCAAAACGGTTTCCTTGTCTAAATCATCGTCATTAACATCATAGCTGTAGTGCTTGAAGCATTTCTTATGATCATCAGCGAAATACATTTTATTCCATAAGTCCTCAATCTCCATCCTACTGTCAATTATGAAATTATCAATGAATTCGGACCGCCTCATGTATAGTCTATTTAATTCCATTTTGAAATTCATCAATGATATATCTGTCAAGGTACTATTTGCGTTTAAGAAAGTAGAGATATACTCATTACTTTCTCCTAGTTTAGTCCATAGGGACTTGCAAGATGTTAAATAGTAATCCCATTTCATTTGTTTGGCATCTCTAATCCTTCGCAATACATCAGCGAATTTCCCCACGAAATTTAAATGGTTATCATTAAGACCAAATTCTTTCGGGTTAGTCTGTATGAATCTGAGAGTCTCTATATCAAAGTAGCCATCATTTCCTGCTGAACCATTTTTACTGTCTGTTATGTCATATTGCTTTTGGATATGAATAACCTGTTCTTCGTTTAAATTCAAAATATTTATATGTTCAAAGCACTTATTGATTATCTCTTTCATTTGATCATTTCTATCATTAAATTCAATTTCACAGTGTTCTATTTCTGTCTGGATGTTAGACAAGAATTCATTAGTAATTTTCGTAAACTTCAAACTTCGTATCACCCTTACAATTCTATAGTTCAAATCACGTAATTGGTTCATCGGGTTCTCAGCACCTGACTCAGTGTTTTCTTTCTGGTTATTGTTATTTCCTGTGTTCTGGGAAATATTATTGATTTTTGCATCTGCTTTGCGAGGACTGGATATTATTACTGCAAACTCATCACTATTTTTACTCTTTAAATTCATTATTGGCTCAACCTTAGAATCCTTCTTAGATAATTTGAGATATTTAATAGTCGACTCAAATTGTTCTATCAAAGCCTTATGTTGCTCTGCCTCTTCCCTTGTTGGCAAAGTTTTTAGTATCATAACTTTGGCGTCTGGGGAATAATACTCGCCTATTGCGTCATGTAAATCTAGGTATGTGATTGTATGATCATTTAGTTTCTTAAAACACCTAATGAAAACCTTCAAAACTTCTAGGAAGGTAGAATTCAACTTATTCTTGAGTTGTAATAACGATAACTCAGGGATATTGTTAAGCATGTACTCATATTGACTCTCGAATGAGAAATCCGTTTGTGGTATCCCGGTAGAAGTAATATTGAAGGGCGAATTTGCGTAGAAATTCTGTTTCCTATTTTGTATATTGGCCAACTTAGTTAGTATATCATCCTTATATCCTTGTTCGTACATTGTTCTATTACTGAATACTATTCCTCTTTCTGTTAATGATAGAGATTTTTCTCCATTGTTATCGTTCACCATAGCCAATATTATTCGTATTTGCTGTCGTAACCATTCACATTCATTTTCAATATTATTCTTCTCCCTCTGCAAACTAGACGTAAAATTACTTATGGTATCTTCAATTACAGTAAATATTTCCGACTTCTTTATGGATATTTCTGTTGTAGAATACCCTATTTGGTTGTATATCTTATTAAGCTCTTGGATAGTATTGTTAACATTCATCGCAATGATATCCAAATGTCTATCTTTTGATGTCATGGCTGTGTCATCACTATTGCGTTCTGGTTCTTGTGAGTCTGGTGCCAAAGTTGACTCACAATCCATCATTTCTTCCACATTGCTATGATTGTCATGAACTTTGGAAGGCATCCTTGATACAGGCTTACTTGGTGTCTGAATAGGCAATTCTTCGTTTAAATCGGTCATACTGTCGTTCATGTTTCCATTATTCCAATTAGGTACACTCATATTTTGTCCGTTACTATAGTCTGGAAGTATTTGATGATTCGTGCTTTCTAAAAAGCTCATCCTTATGTTCTATGCTATGTTCAATATTGCGATCTTCAGTGCTTTTTATATTGATATAGCAAAGTTTATTTTCTTTTTAAATTCATTCACTCTCTTAATTACTAGAGTAAATACTAGTTATATCGATCAATTCCACTACTTTTTACTTTGTTTTGGAATGATAAGCTGTTTAATTGTATTTTGTGTATTTGCAAAAATTTTGGCTGATGCAAGAATTAGCTTGCCGTTTTCGGACAAAACATCAACAAATATGTCAGGTGTTTATATGCAGTATTTTGCAATTCATTAATCAATTAAAAACTATATACATAAAAGCTCATATTGGCTTCGATAATAATGCAAGTATAAATGAAGGATACTCATGATCCTTTTGTAAGATCAGCTTGATGAAGAATAGAAGTTAATTCGTCACTAAAATTGAAATCGTTATGAAGATTGGATGGAACATCGATTAAATCTTCAGTAATTTCATCTTCGACTTGACTATCTTCTATAAATAATACAGGGTCTCTTTGAAGCTTTGCCAATTCCTCCCGCTTCTTGTAGTTTCTATAGATACCAAATTTACGGTATACAAAGCCAGTGACATCCCAGTTCAATTCACGAGCAATTTTGAAAAGATTTTTCGTGGGAGAAGCTTTAGATTTCACACCATGTTTAACTAGTTCGCGATACCACAATTCGGCTTGCTTGTATTCATTTCTATAATAATGAAACATGATGAAGGGGTATATTTGGTTAAAAGTAAATGGGAGACCATAGGAGCGGGAGGTTCTGATCATCTTTGAGGCAAATGCGTAATCCTGATGAACAAGTAAACTAGAATAGATGAGCAAATCGAACAAATACACGGAACGATTATTTCTCTTTATTTCAACATTGGTAAGAAAATCAGTTATGATGGCTTTAGCGGCTTCGAAGTTAGCTTCAGTAGTAACCAATTCCATGTCTGCTGAGTTGGGGTTCAACTTTAATAGATATTTCATGAATAAGGTAATTATGTGATCGTTCAAATTATTTTCATGGAAAACATGCTGCTGATTTGCTCCTTCCTCGATCGTTGTAGAATCTCTTGAGGACTTTAGCTTCAGAATATATGTCGCATATAATTTAGAAATGTAATCAGGAGTTATTTGAGAATTGGGGAGCGAATTTAGTATAATTCCATATACTTGTGTTAATCCGTTAGGCGTAAATTCAAAGCCTGTTAGGCTGTCGTCAATATTGGCCTTTTGAACTATGGATAATGATTGTGAAAGTTTACTTATTTCTCCTCCGGAATAAACGACTGAAAGCAAACTAAGGTCGTCTAAAAGTGTAAGACCCAGATTATCTTCAATGCTTTTTTGATTTCCACTAAACATCGAAGTAACGTAACCAATGAGGATTTTTGGTGATGTAGGATATTTTTCTTTAATTAATTGTAAAATTTCCTCTATTAAATGCAACAACTGGGTATTGTTTAAACTTTTCAAATGAATGTTATTCATGAGTAGGAGCGCTTCTTGATAGTAGCCTTGAGCACGTAAGTTGATCATTATAGTTAAAAGATTCTCAAATTTAACATCCAAATGATTTTTGACCATATACTTCAATACTTTTATGCAGCTTTGAGAACCTTTAAATACCATAATATAGTTAAGTATAACATTTAGAACAGACTGGATATCATCCAGCAATGTCGCCTCCATCAGTCTTTGATTAAAGTCTGGTTCCATTCGTTGCTTACATTTTCCTTCAAATTTAGATACTATCAAATTTAAGTATAAGGTAGCATCAACCACATCCTCCTTTTTAATTGCAAATAAAGCAAAAGTTTTCAAGTCCTTTA